GTGGTAAAGCAATAGAAATCTGAGTGTGGTCCCCACTGACATGGCAGTCATAATTTCAGGTTAGTATAGGTATCATGTATGTGCTTGGGAAGATGGCTCAGATGGTACAATCTGCCTGCAATGCAGGAGGCCTGGGTTCGATCCTTGGGTCAGCATGGTCCCCGGGAGGAGGGCATGGCAACCCATTCCAGTATCCTTGCCTGGAAAATCCTATAGACAGAGGAGCCTGGCAGGCTGTAGTCCATTGTTGCAAAGAGACATGGCTGAAGTGACTGAGCATGCATGCACAGGTATCATGACAGCACTTCAGATTAGCGACATTGTGTGATACGCTGATTCCTTCAGGTGAAAAATAATTCGTGCACTTAAGCCTGAATAAGAGCTTGTATGTGTGTGTGCTTAGTCGTGTTCGACTCTTTGTGACCCCGTGGACTATAGCCCGCCAGGCTCCTCTGTGCATGGGATTTCCCTGGCAAGAAAACTGGAGTGGGTTGCCATTTCCTACTCCAGGGGATCTTCCTGACCCTGGGATCAAACCAGCATCTCCTGCATTGGCAGACGGATTCTTTACCACTGAGCCACTTGGGAAGCTCTTAGACTGTTTAAAACAAATCGAGGGGAGAGGGAGTAGGGGGAAAAAACCCTACATCACAATCCTGAGGATGATATAGTCATGGGGACAATATTAACTCAATAATGTAATTCATGAGAGTAAATGTGACAGGACTTTGAATTTCTGGGATTTTTATGACATGTATTTATGCCAGTCTAATTGTGATCCTAAATGACAGGTGTAAGAGGCTCTTGGATGTTCGAATACCTTAGAATAAACTGGGGAACTTGTTCAGGAGCAGGTTCCCATACTACTTGGTTGTGTCCCAGTAACTGGCCTTTTTATCAAGTACCCCTTATTCTGATGAAGATGCTGATTGTACTTTGAGAAACCATGACTGACTTAGTGCTTGAATGAGCTCCCTTAAGAAAAGTGAAGTTTAATTTAAAAATATGAATAAACTGGAACACGGTTCGTGTGTCCCTGATACTAAAATGGCCTTTATCATTTTACTCTATGCTTCGTCCCAGAGTTCAGGCAGTAAGAATACCCCATCCCCAATAACCTGTTTCTGTGTAGAAAGGCCCCTTCATGTTCGATTCGCCTGGCCATGTCTGGCTGGAGATGGAAAAGTTATTTATGGCTGAAGTTCTTCCTTTTTCTTCCCAGCAGGAAGGTGAATAAAACTCATTTGTTCCAAGAAAGGAAAATAATTCCAATCCAACCGATTAAAGCCAATAATATCATGGAAAATTAAAGGGAAAAGTTTGGAATCATGTTAAGAATAAAAAGCTAAAAAAAGAAAAAAAGAATAAAAAACTTCCCTGGTGGTTCAGATGGTAAAGAATCTGCCTGTCCCTTAGGTGACCCAGGTTCGATCCCTGGGTCAGGAAGGTCCCCCTGGAGAAGGGCATGGCAACCCACTCCAGTATTCTTGACTGGAGAATTCCATGGACAGAGGAGCCTAGCAGGCTATAGTCCATGGGGTCACAAAGAGTTGGACATGACTGAATATGGTGTTGGATTGGAGAAGACTCTTGAGAGTCCCTTGGACTGCAAGATCCAACCAGTCCATCCTAAAGGAGATCAGTCCAGAGTGTTCATTGGAAGGAGATGCTGAAACTGAAACTCCAATACTTTGGGCACCTTATGTGAAGAGCTGACTCATTTGAAAAGACCCTGATGCTTAGAAAGACGGCGGGAGGAGAAGGGGACGACAGAGGATGAGATGGTTGGATGGCATCACTGACTCAATGGACATGAGTTTGGGTGGATTCCGGGAGTTGGTGATGGACAGGGAGGCCTGGCGTGCTGCGGTTCACGGGGTTGCAAAGAGTTGGACATGACTGACTGAACTGAACTGAACTGAGTGACTAACACTTGAGTGAAGAATAAAAAGCCAGCATTTTTCAAGGTCTCCCGAAAAACAGCCCAATATCTTTAATAAAACATGCCCGAATAAGCTGTATGTGTGCCAAGTCACTTCAGTCATGTCTGACTCTTTGAGACCCCATAGACTGTAGCCTGCCAGGTTCCTCTGTCCATGGGATTCTCCAGGCAAGAATACTGGAATGGGTTGTCATGCCCTCCTCCAGGGAATCTTTCCAACCCAAGGATCGAACCCACGTCTCCTGCAGCTCCTGCATTGCAGGCAGATTCCTCACCACTGAGCCACCAGGGAAGATCCCAAATAAGGTAGAACTCATATTAGGAATGACTGTGATCTACCCTTAAACTCAGAAGTGACTCTGGATCAGACAGTAATGATGGAGTAATAGGAAGACTGGGATGTCCCAGACTGGTTTCTGCTTTATATGCCCCAAAGAACCTCAGTTAAGCCCTCATTCCTCACCTGAATAGACTCTTGGGAGCTGACCCAAACTGGCTAATGTTCAAGTCTGAAAACCAGTTGCGCAAAACAAAACCTAAAATGATCCCCTGGAGCAAAAGAAAAAAAAATATTTGGTTTCGACAGTGCCTCTGGGAGGAACTCCAGACACTTTCACTACGGACCCTCCCTGCATTCTTTGGGGTTAAGCAGCCACAAGAAGCAAAACAGCATGAGAAAAGGCTGAGTCAGATGACATGTAGCAGCAAGCCCAGGCACTTCTCCAAGGGCCCAGGACATCGGAGGCCTCCCAGTGTTGTCCTTTCTTGGAACTTTGAAGGCTTCTTGAGTTACCAGCAGCAAGGCCATCCTTGCTGATTCTTGATTCTCATGAGATTTGCTCTCTCTGAAAGGACTGCATCCACAGGGACAATTATTGACTGAACAAACATTCCTGATGATGTCATTTGTGCCCTGAGATCTTGACCAACAACTTGCTCATGGTTGCTGTGCTCATGATTTTGGCTGAGGATACTCTTTGGAGGGAAAATGTGGCTTCTACTGTAGATGGTTGTTTTTTTTAATAGTGGAGAAAGAATGTGAAGTAGGAAAGGGATAAAGAATAGGCTGATTTTCTAGTTAAAGTTAATAATGAAACCTATGTTAGAGATTCCTTCTTATCAGAGCACAGAGGTCAAGTCCTGTTATAAATATCACATCCACTTGCAAGTTAATTTCATAGTCACACTTGGTTCCTCACTCCTGTCACATCACAGAACATTTCAGTGGAGCAAAAGAAGGGATACCACAGAGTGTCATCACTTTCGGGTGCTTGGGGCGCCTTGAAGCATCACCTGCTGCTCTTCTCTGGGGGGGTCACTTCCTTTGACACGTGTTAGAGAAGTGATGAAAAAGACTGAATGTGTACGATGTTCCCAAATGCTTAAGGAGAATTTAGAAGAGTGTTGGGGACTTCCCTGGTGGCTCAAAGATAGGGAAGCCATCTGCGCGTGGGGGAGACATAGGTTTGATCACTGGTCCAGGAGGATCTCGCATGCCACAGTGCAGCCGGGCCTGTGTACCCCAACTACTGAGCCTGTGCTCTAGAAGCCCTAGAGCTACAACTACTGAAGCCCTCATGCCCTAGAACCCGTGCTCCACAATGAGAAGCCGCCGGTGTGAGAAGGCTGCATGCTGCAACAGGGGAGTGACCCCGGATTGCTGAAACTAGAGAAAAGCCTGTGCCAGCGGTGAGGACCTAGCACAACCAAAAATAATAAATAATGAAATCGGGAATTTTAAAAAGTGATGGGAGTTGGGACCCCCCTCACACCCTCAGGCACACACCACAGGCATACCCCACACACCCTGGCGCCCCCCCTCCCCCCCCCCCCCCCCCCATCCCCTGGGGAATTCCACTAGTAGCTGCCGGAGACATTTGCTGGTTACCTTTAACCTGTTTTGACCTCAAGGCACCACCAAGGGTCAGCGAGGCACACCGATTGGAGTTGCTCTCAGGCTCCTGTGTTGGCCTAATTCTGGTGAAAGGTCCGTAAGAGGCACTGTTTTATACTTCAAAATGACCACACAGTGTGGCTGTGGCATGCTGTCCCCGGTTCTACTAATTTCCTGGGCTTCTGGAGCCTTGAGATGCAAGAGAAGCTTTTGAAAACATTCCTGGGAAACCAAGGAACAGTCTTGTAATGCAGTCTGACAGTGTAAAACCCCCAAAGAATGTAGCAGTGGTTTTGTTATGGTTCACAAGAAATCTGTGGGTGGCCTATTGATTTTAAGTTCATCAAAATACACCTGTATCAGGGACCAAAACTAAACATTTTTGAAGTGCTTAACCAGAAAACTTTCATTAATTAAACTGTACCAAGATATTCTATGAATTTTACCCTCCCAGTTCTCTCGGACTGGCTACTATCATACCTGTAGCCCAGATCAGCACAGGTGGCCCCCAGCTGAGGATTCAACACAGAAGCACAGCTGGGGATGACTGTTGCCATCTCCAGCAGCTGACAATACAACCTGGTCCCTGGCCCATCATCCCTGTCCACCATCCAGTCTATCTTTATAGACTTACAGCTTGGGTTCGCAAGTGTCCTCTCAGATGTGGCTATTGAAGCAGAACAGTGCAAAATCAGTCTTCAGAGTTTGAGGAGGGGGGTTTTCATAAGTGTGGTTGATGAGTCTGACATTTCAGGAGAAGAAACTTTTGTGAAAAGCATGATTAAGACAGCCTGCTAATATCTCTCACTAAATAAGCTGGATTTAGCTCAAATCTCATAGCAGGACAGCATGAACTCAGTTTCGAATTGACTTGGGTTCTAGTCTCCTTGTCAACAGGTTGGAGAGTTGTCCTCATCAGTGGGATTTAGCGTTCTCTCTGCCCCAGTGATAATGACAAGAAGCACCAGGAAAGGATGTGATGACCATGGTGCATAAAGCCTTCCTGGGAAGGAGTGTGGTGGTCTGCTTGTTGCAGGGGTAAAGTGGTGAGCTGGCAGCAGTGGCGGCTGGGACTTCCCCATACTCAATTTAAAACAAGCGCTGAAGCTCAACTCACATGTCAGGAGTTTAAGGAAAAAAGTCTCCACACTCAAGGTGACTGTCTTTGGAATTCTTCGTTTCATTAAGGTTCTCACAAAATACAAAGCTCAAACATAACTGTCTACATCCACCACAGAACAGAATCAAGTAAGTGGTTAGCACACAATGATCTTTTTCATTTTTAAAAATATAAATAACAGTGTTCAAGGCTGGACAGTTTTCTCCCGGGTGTGTTTCTCTTTAAGGCGTTACGTCGCAGGCCCTTCACTGATAAGTACCCGTACTTGTCATCAGGAAGCACTGCCACAGGCAGGGAAGGCCACTGTGGATGCGGTCCTGAGGGTGATTCCCACGGATCCGTGTTGCCTCAGCCTGTGAAAAACTAAACGACCAATCAGACACCCTCCGATCTGTGCTCACAGTTCCATTAATTTTCTTTCTACTACGAAGTAATGATAGAAAGGGGGTCACCTCCCAGTGGCATTCAAGCCCTCGGGAGATCAATCATGAAGGGCGAGAAGGAGGAGGACAGGCTTTTTCCTGGATGGAATTTTTTCCTTTTATCCAGAAAAAAAAAAAAAAACCAATAACCCACAGAGCTTAATGGGCGGCTCGTACTGAAACATTTTTCAGATTAAATAGTGTTGAGAGAAGGGGCAGTCTTTGGGGTGGGTACTGGAGAAGAGGTTAAAGTGGGGAGGTCACTGCTGGGAAACCACCACGGCCAGTCCAGCCCCCCACGGCAGTCACATCGCCGGTAAGGCCTGGGGGCAGAGCCAGGGCCCCCGCCTTGGGCACGAAGTCTGAGGGAAGGCTCTCCAGCAGGCACCTGACCTGCTCCTGGCCCAGCTTGATCTTGTCGTCCAGCTCCCGCTGCTCGATGAGGAGTGTCGACTTCATTTTCACGAAATGCCGGTAATCCTGGAGCTGCTCCTCGGAGAGGTAATTGGCCAGGATGTCCAGCACCACACGCTCCCTCCGATCCACATTCTCCTTGAGCTCCCGGGCATCCTCGTGCTGAGCAGACAGGACCTTCCTCTTCTCGTTGAGTGAGCTCTGCCAGGGCGAGATGAGTGGGTCAGCAGAGGGGCAGTGTGGGGGGGAAAGAGAGCCAAGTGCCTGCAGAGAGATTTTTTTATAGGACGGGACAATATCTAAGGTGCTATTTCAACTGTCACTCTAAAGTAGGGAGGTGCAAGTGTTTTGAAAATCACTTATTACCCTTATGGTGCTTATGTATGGTCCAGCTTTAATCCAAGAGGCATTACATTCAACTGGTGGGGGTAATGGCTTTACTTTAGGCTTCTAGTCTTAAAAAGACAATCAAGATTGCACTTGTAGGGGGTCCTTAGAGTAGTCAAAATCCTAACGGCGCGAAGTAGGATGGTGATTGCCAGGGCCTGGTGGGAGGGGAGAGTGGAGGACTTGTTTCAATGGAGTTTTGCGAGATGAAAAAAGTTCTGGAGATCTGTTACACAGCAATGTAAATACACTTAACACTACTGAACTGTACAGCTAAAAGTGGTCAAGACAGCAAATTTTACATGTGGTGGTGATGGTTTAGTTGCTAAGTCGTGTCCAACTCTTGCGAGCCCGTGGGGAGGTAGCAAGCCAGGCTCCTCTGTCCACGGATTCTCCAGGCAGGAATACTGGAGTGCGTTGCTACTTCCTCTACAGGGGATCTTCTCATCCCAGGGACTGAACCCTCCTCCCCTGCATTGGCAGATGGATTCTTTCCCACTGAGCCACCAGGGAAGCCTATGTGCTGTGGGTTCAGTTGTGCCCGACTCTTTGAGACCCTGTGGATTGAAGCCCCCCAGGGTCCCCTGTCCATGGAATTTTCCAGGCAAGAATACTGGAGTGGATTGCCATTTCCTTCTCCAGGAATCCAGGTTGGGATCATCCCAATCCAGGGATCGAACTCGTGTCTCTTGCATTGGCAGGTGGATTTTTTTTTTTAAGCACTGCGTCACCTGGAAGTCCTTTATGTAGTTTACCATAATTAAAAAATTGAAGGGGGGAAAAAAGGCCAATTATCAAGGAAGTCAAAGTTATGGTTTTTCCAGTAGTCATGTTCAGATATGAGTGCTGAACCATAAAAAAGGCTGAGTGCTGAAGAATTAATGCTTTTGAACTGTGGTGTTGTAGAAGACTCTTGAGAGTCCCTTGGACTGCAAGGAGATCAAACCAGTCAATCCTGAAGGAAATCAGTCCTGAATATTCATTGGAAGGACTGATGCTGAAGCTATAATACTTTGGCCACCTGATTCAAAGAGCTGACTCATTGGAAAAGACCCTGATGCTGGGAAGGACTGAAGGCAAAAGGAGAAGAAGGCAAACAGAGGATGAGATGGTTAGATAGCATCATCAACTCAACAGACGTGAATTCGAGCAAACTCTGGGAGACAGTGGACAGAACAGCCTAGCACGCTGCAGTCCCTGGGGTTGCATAAAGTCAGACCTGACTTAGTGACTGAACAACAGTAACTATAAACACTAATCCTGATGTATTTTGCAAGTGAGCAAGCACTTATGTGTACTTAAGGGTATAGAAGGCATTAAGTGTTAAGTTGAGCTCAATTCTGGAATAACTCATGTTGCTCTAAGTATCTCCAGTGTCCCCTATCTCACAGACCTGTGGCATCCAGCCAGGTGACCAAAGAGGAAACTTGGAATTACCTTCTGTTCTGTCCTTCCCCTCATCTAACACGCCTTGCTGATTCAAACTTACGCTCTAACTCACTCCCTGTTCTTTATCCCCAAGACAATGGTCTAAATTAACAGCCTAAACCCATCTTTCTAGAAGTCTCCCCATGGTAACATCCTTCTCCCCACTCCCTAGGCCGATCATGTAATGAAATGAGTTCAGGGCTCTCTAGGGTAAACTCTACAGTACTGACCCATAGGTCTTGGTGATGATTTTCTGCACTGGATTCTACTACCCCTCCAGACCCACTCTCCCCAGCCTGACTCCATGTCTAGTGAAGCTGAACCCTGCTGGGTGCTGGGTTCGGCCAGTGGCAGCCACGGCAGGAGCCTGGGAGGTGGGAGAAAGGAGACGCTGAGGCCTGTATTCCTGGCTCTCTCCTTTCAGGTGGCGGCGGCTGCAACCTTTCCTCCAGAGCTATGGATGCAGTTCTGATAAGGGCCCCTTCCTTCTGCTGCTCTGGGTCCAGAGGTGGTAATGGCTGCCCCACTGATGCTAGCCCCATGGGGACAGAGCAACTTCATTGTCCCTTCTTGCCTATGTGCCAAGTCGTGTCCGACTCTTGCGACCCTGTGGACTGTGAGCCTACCAGGCTCCTCTGTCCCTGGAATTCCCCAGGCAAGAATATTGGAGTGGGTTGCTATGCCCTCCTCCAGGGGATCTTCCTGACCCAGGGATTGAACCCATGTATCTTATGTCTCCTGAGTTGGCAGGCAGGTTCTTTACCACTAGCGCCACCTGGGAAGCCCTTCTTGGTCTCCCTTAAAAACAAGTAGTCAAGGAATCACTCACTCTATGCTCTAGACACACCAACCACATGTAACTCAGTTCCTAAACACGCCATGGTCTGCCTGGGCTTTGTCCATAACATCCCTTCTAAATGGTGAAGCCCTTCCCATTAGTCCGCCCGGCGTTAAGAAAGCCCTCTGGACGCCACTCGAGCGGCACTTGTGTGAAGTTCCCCCTGACCCCAGCACCACACGAAGAGTGCTCCCGTGGCCCCGAGTTTACTCTGTGCAGCCGCGTGCTAGACACAATCACTGCTTCTACACTGGTCCCCAACACTGCTGAGTGCCTTCGGGGGGGCCTGTTTTTAGCCAGTGTCAGCCCTAGCACCGGAGCAGCTGGTAGTTGACACGTTCTTGTTCACTGCTCGTGGATGGAAGGCAGGCAGGAGGGACAACACTTTTGAGGCAAGAACAGTTAATTTCTATGGAAACTGTCTGGAGGCAACAAAGGCCCAATACACATACACAGGAGGGCACTGGTCCGGGGTGGGGGGTGGGGGTCCTGAGTACTCAGAGTCCCACTCCTAAATGCTTACGGTCTAGATCTCTTCTAATCTTTCAAAAGTCTATTTGCCAAGACATACCTTTCCTTTTAAGGCAGTACATTCGGAGAAATGATTGGGAAATCCCTAATTTCCAGGAGCCAGGAAGCAAGAGAGCTGCCTCTTACTGGCTGGAGTGCTGGTCAGCCGGTGTGGACGTGAAGTTGCACCTGTTTATTGTCTGACCTTCTTGGTAAGTGACTCCCATGCGGGCAGGAATCTGATTGCTTTATTCAGAGAATCCCAAGTGCCTCCACCAGAAGGTGGCCCACACCAGACACACAGGAAATATCTGCTGTACCGATGAGCAGGGGAAGAGTGCTCTATAGCTCTGCAGTGAAGTTCAAGGAGGTGGATAACACCTGTGGACCACAGCAGGACTCCTTTCCTGGCTGCATCGCTTACTGGCCTCCAGTAAGAACTCTGAAGCTGTGTCTACAGCGTCTAAGCCCGCAGTGCCCGACCCAGAGGGCGCCCTGGGATTCTGCGGCACGTCAGCACCGCTGTGGTCACGTTCTTCCAGGGAGGGGTGCGGTGACGACAGCGGGTACGTCCCCCCTCGGTGTCCCTGGCCCCTCACCTGCAGCTTCCCTGGAGCCTGAGCTCACGTTCCTGGGCCCTCTCCTCGTCCCCAACAGCTCTGTCATTCCTCTCTGTTGCTTTATTTTTTATTTGTATTTTTTTCCTCTCTGTTTTTAATGTCCATCTTCATTCTGCCTTTTGCCTTCTTCTGGGACAGAAAGGGAGGAAAGAAACTCTGGCGCCCATGTTTGTTCTTTCCTAGTAAGTATCCCTGAGGCTGAGGTGTCACGACACAACATTCTGGCGTGGAAGCTGCCTTCCCCTCTGTATCCTGCTCATCTGTATGCCAGATCCCCCTCCCTGCCCCAGAGAGATGGTGGTCTTCTCTAGAAGGACTCCTGTCTCACCGTACTTCTCTGTGTACATGGGACTCAGGGGAGGTAGGGAGGAGACTTGAAGGGAACTGCTAGGCTGCCTACCCTTTCCTCGTTGCTGGCGTCTTCACCGAGGCCGCTGAGCACGTTCTCCACGCGGGCCAGGCGCCCCGAGAGCGACAGGAGCAGGTTCACCACCTTGTCCAAGTCCCCGATGAACATCTTGTACTTGTCGATCTCATTGGGCTTGCAGAACTCACTGATCCAGGCCTCCACCTCCTCCCCCAGGGCGTTATTGAGCTTGATGTCCATCAGCAGGCTCCCCTTGGCTTCCTGGAGGGTCTCAAGCTTGTGGGTGAGGCTTCCGATCAGCTCCGCCTGTCATGAGAGAGGAGACACACAGCAAAAGTTAGCCAGCCGAGTGGTCAGAGGGATAAGCTTCACTTCTAGTCACATCCTCCCTGTCTTTTTTTTTTGACGCTCAGCTGAAGGCCCTCCCATGCTCTCTATGGACTGCCCCCAACCTTAGACCGCTGTCTCCTTTCCTGTCTCAGAACCTATTCAGTCCTCACAGGCTACGCACGATCACACGTCGCCTTGGAATGTTGTCCAGTCATGTCGTGCTGTGCGCAACACTGCCTTCCCAACTGGTTTGATCATGGCTCACTTTTAAAAGCTTTCCAAGACATGTTCTCATTTGAGCCTCACAACAATACCGCAGGCAGGCAAGGTATATATTCTTCAACAAATAGAGCAGCCGAGACTCAAAGGAACTAGGGATTTGCCTAAGATTACAGAGCTGAGTATTAATCACAGATACCACTTGTGGAGCAATTACTATGAGCCAGACATGGTGAGGAAGTCTACAGATTATCTCACTGAGCCGTCCCAGTGGTCTTGTAGGAGATACTCCCTCATCTGTGCAGCGCACTAGGTGAGGAAATTGGGACAGTGGAGTGTGCTGAGTTTTAATCGGCAAATGAGCATTAACCAGTAAGTCTGTCCTCAGATGTTGGGGGTGAGTGGTGAAGAGAAGGGAGAACTCTTCTTCTGAGATGCTACTGAGCTTGGCTCCCTAATTTTCTCAGGCTCCTTCAATTTAAGTAGGGTTCACGATGTCCCTGAAATGTCTAAGTTCTGGCTTGAATGAAAGGTGAAAGGTCAGCAGTACTAGAAGGGCAGTTACCAAGTGAGTGGGGTTCAGTGGGCAAGGATGGGTCAAAGAAGGCTGAATAGCCACCAGGGTCAGCATCTAGCCCACTCAGTCTTTCCTCTGCAGACCCTGCCTTTGGTTTCTTAGCTTTAATTTTATTGCAGTATAGTTGATTTACAATGTTATGTTTTAGGTGTACAGCAAAGTGTTTCAGTTAAACATATTCATTTTTTAGACTCTTTTCTCATACAGGTTTTCACAGAATAGTAGTGAGTAGTGTTCCCTATGCTATACAGTAAATCCTTGTTAGTTACCTACTTTTTGGTAGTGTGTATATGTTAATCCCAGTTCCTGATCTATCCTTTCCCCCGTTTCCCCCTTGGTAACCATGCATTTGTTTTCCATATCTGTCAGTTTCTGTCCTCATTTCTGTTCTCTTTATTCTGTTTCATGGCAGCAATTTCTACCATTTTGTCTTCCAGCTCGCTTATCCATTCTTCTGCTTTAACAACAGAATAATTGACTCCTTCAAGCATATTTTTCATTCCAGTTGCTGTATTGTTCATCTCTGTTTACTTGTTCTTTAAATCTTCTACTCTCCGTTAAACATTCTCTGGTATCCTCTTGATTTGTGCCTCCATTCTTTTTTGGGAGATCTTGGATTATCTTTGCTATCAGTAGTCTAAATTCTTTTCCAGATAGGTTGCCTCTCTCTACTTCATTTAGTTGTGGGCTTTTATCTTGTTCCTTCATCTGGAACGTATTTCTCTGTCGTCTCATTTTGTCTAACTTTCTGTGTTTGTGGTCTCCACTTCTCAGGCTACAGGATCATAGCTCCTCTTGCTGCTAGTGTTTGCTCCCTGGTGGGTGAGGCTGGTCCTGGGGCTTGTGCAGGCTTCTTGGCGGGAGGGACTGGTGTCTGCCTGCTGGTAGATGGAGCTGGGCCCTGTCCCTCCAGTGGCAGGGCTATATCAAGGGGTGTGTCCAGAGGTGGCTGTGAGCTCAGCCTGTCTGCTGATGGGTGGGGCTGTGTTCCTGCGGGTTGTTTGGCCTGAGTGTTCCAGCACTGGTCTGGAGGCTGCTGGGTGGGACCAGGTCATGATACAACGGCAGACCTCCAGGAGAGTTCACACTGATCAATAGTCTCTGGGGCCTCTGCCACCAGTATCCTTGCTCCCCAGTGAACCACAGCTGACCCCTGCTTCTCCAGGAGACCTTCCAGGACTCGTAGGTAGGTCCAGTTCAGGCTCCTATGGCATTCCTTTTTCATGGTGTGGCCCAGTTGTGCATGAAACTTTGTGCATGCCCTCCAAGAGTGGAATCTGTTTCTCCCAGCCCTGTGGAACTCCTGAACTCAAGCCCCACTGGGGGTTCCTCCTCCGGATACCAGATCCTCAGGCTGGACAGCCTGCTGTGGGGCTCAGGACTCTTGCTCTTGTGGGAGAATGTCTGTGATATCACTATTTTCCAGTTTGTGGGTTGCCCACCTGGCAGGTATGGGGTTTATGTTGTGAAAGTGTCCCCCGCTTCTGTCTTACTGAGGCTTCTTCTTTGTCTTTGAATGTAAAATATCTTTTCTGGTGGATTCCAGTCTTTTTGGTCATTGGTTGCTCAGCAGTTAGTTGTGATTTTGGTGTTTTCGTGAGAGGCGGAGAGCTCAAGTCCTTCTACTCTGCCATCTTTCCCAGAACCAAGGGGCTGCTTTTAGTTTGGGCGCTGGCTGCCTCTTTCCCCAGCATGTGCCGGCCACTGTCCCCTCGATACACGCTGTGCAGATGCCTGGCCCGTGCACACTCCTGGGACGGTGGGGACAGTGCTTGGCGCCTGCTCACAGGGCTCAGGCAGGCAGCTGCTGTCTGCACACTCTTGGGACCTCAGGGGCAGTGCTTGGCACTTGCTCTGTTTTGTTTTTCAAAGACGTCAATGCTGGCAGAAGAATCATAGGTCTGCCTGTACAGGAGCAGGAGCTGACATGAACTCTGGGCTTCATGAGACAAGGATGGACAGAACGAGAAGAAAATGCCTAGAAGTGATGCAGGGAGGCTTCTGAAGGAAGAACCATCTACATTTTGCATTTTGGTTTCTGAAAGCTATTGGTGGGGCTGTAATGTGATCCATCACAGCCCAGCCAGATTGGCTAATATCAGCATCACTGAGCAGTCACATCAACCACTCCTGACCCAAAGGTTGCACATTTGGATGGTACTTCAATTTTTCATTTTACCAAGCCCTTAACATATGGAGATTTGGATTTTAAAATGTAGTTAAAGAGGAATTTGAATAACTGAAGGTAGCAAGGGAAAGTTGGCTGTATTCAATAGCCATTTCTCTGCCAGGCAGATCTTTTCAAAAAAACCTACCAACTTATACCCATGAAATTCAATGGGGAGAGAGGGGAGAGGTGTTTTGATTTTTTAAAAATAACTTACTAGTCTCTCAGGAGCTAATTAATTTGCAAAATCATCGACATTTAACCACTTCTCATCTGGCATAAACTGTTAACTCACCCGCCTGAGCTGCTATTTATAAGAGTTCTCGCTGGAAACACAGTTTAACAGTCCCTCCGTCCCACCTTGCCATCTGCAGGCTGAAATCCTGCTGGGCCCTGTCCAGCTCCTCACGGTTCCAGCGCCAACTCGGACACTGGACCAGGAGTCAGGAGATCTGGCTATGACAGAAATTCATTCTCAGGCCAGTCACTGGACTTTTTGTATCTGTTTTTCTCATCCACAGCACAGGCATCCTGATGCCTGCCTGAAAATAATCATTCTGTTTCGTTACAGAGCTCTTTCTCTATGCCAGACATCATTTAGGCGTTTTCCTATTTTCAATCACTACTCACAACAATCCAGTGAGATGGGTGCTGTTATCCCCCTTTTACTGATGAGGAAAGTGAGGTGGACAGCGGTTATGTCATTTGCCCATGCTCAGGCAGACAGAAAGAGGCAGCTCTGGGCTTAGACCCAGGTCACCCAGCTGCAGGATTCAGGCTTTTTGTTGCTACGTTAAAACAGCTCAGAGGAAAGTTGTGAGGCTCAGGTAAGATGAAGCAAGCACTTTGGAAAATATAAAAAGTGTTAGACATTCAAGTTGTTCCTCTTCTGTGCTATGGTTAAGATTAGGCAGCCTCTTGAAGAACACGTACCAGTCAGTCACTTGGGTAGATGACCCTAGGGGAATATAGCCAACCACTCCCCACCTCCAACACTGTTTTGCCTTCTGCTCAGCAGACTTGTGCTGACAGGGTTGCCAGTAATGTCACTACTCACACAGTCAGCCTCAACCAATGGCCTGTCTTTGTCTAAACAGAGTAATTCATGACTCTTAAGGCTTCCCAGGTGGTTCAGTGGTAAAGAATCCATCTGCCCATGTGGGAGACCGGGGTTCGATCCCTCAGTTGAGAAGATCCCCTGGAGGAGGGCATGGCTACCCACTCCAGTATCCCCGCCTGGAGAAGTCCATGGACAGAGGAGCCTGGCGCGCTGCAGTTCGTGGGATAGCAAAGAGTCAGACATGACTGAGCGACTAATACAGCCCCATGGCCAGGGTTTGAGGACAGAGAGAAATTCAGGCTCCTGCTGGTAAAAACTGGGACTAAAGACATTCAACTCGAGAGTCCCAGCAGCAGCACAGGCTGGTCTCTTTAGCCGCGCTTCACTGGGGAGAGAAGTCGGGGGCACTTTCTGTCCTGAGCAAGCCTCCATCCCATGTTGTGTGGCCTGCCAAAGCAGAAAGGTTGGGGGGTGCCCACTGCCAAGGCAGATATTCTCAGGCACGTTCTCTGTCAAGAGTGGTTCTTGTTTTCTCTCAGGAAGGCTTGTGACCAGAAAGCTCTCACATTTACCTAGTTCGATCTCTTGGTTCTGAGGTAACAGGAATCCCTGACACACAAGAAGAAACAGGATTAAATTCCTCAGAATTCAACGCAGCTCCTCTTCCTCCCTCCCCGTGTTTTCCTATTTCTGTTACAACAGTCACCTCAGCCAGGAACTCCGGAGTCAGCCCTCTTTCCTCTCTTCCATGCTCCATGTGTAATATTAATCTACCAGGCTGTCCCTTTTACTTCCTCTTTTGAAAACTAAAACCCATCGGCTTCTCTCACTGCTCCTACTGCACCCCCCCTCTGACCCGTATCATCACGTTCCTGGGCGGCTGTAACCCTTCCAACTACCCTTTCTCACTACTGTCTGAGTACGCACGTAGCTGCTAGAGACTTTCCTGGATGCAAATCCGCTGCGTCTCTCTCCCTGATGATAAACCCCGGGAGGGAGCTGTTGGTGGGCAGATGTCAGAAGCCCACGTCAGGCCCCCTCCTCCATTCTAACAGCTACCACCCTGAGCCCCCAGAGCGGTCTGCAAGGATAACTGGCGGCTCGCTGGGGAGGGAGCAAGCCTGGAGGATGACCCAGATGGGGGTGAGCTTCCCGTTTCTCCCCCTTTTGATGTTCTAGCTCTGCCCTGGGAATAGCCTTAACACTCAACTGCAGAGATGGTATGGGAGCAAGAATGCTGAAAGAAGCCCTGCCTACTATGGGATAAAGCTTGCGGTGGAAATCCTGCTCTTCCCTTTCCTTCTCATTTTTCCCCCCCTTTCCCAGCCCTGTTCCCCGAGCTGACTCTCCTTGTACAGCCACATGGCGTGAGCACTTAAAACTGCAAGAGAAAAACCCTTCTTTCTGTCTAAAGAACTGGGAAAATGACCCATGGACCGAAACTGTGAGGGGGTCTCCCCACTGTTTCTCTCATTGAGGGGAGTCCCATGCAGACAGTACGGCCATGCAGGCTGCAGTGATATCGCGAGAACTTGTCTATTTCTAGCAGAGGTCCAGGAAAAGGGGCCTCTGGGAGCCAGAGGCTGGAGGGGGATGGGAGGAGGCGTGGGGATACTGGGCAGGAGAGAGCAGGGAAGGGAGACCCCCCACCTCCGTGTCTGCACTGCCTGGGTCCTGGCTCACCCAGAAGCTGCACGTGTAGGGCAGACCCAGAGCAGCACGGTGGAGGCTTTCAGGACTGCACTGTGACAGAACTCACCCGAGCCGTCAGCTCGGCCCTGAAAGGTGCCCGTGGGGGACGGACACGCAGGAGACAGCAGAGATTCTGAAAACTGAACGGACTCCGGGACGATACCCAGGGTGGGACGGAACTTGCAGCCTGAACCTCACTCGGCTGACTGCTTGCTAAAACAAAACAAAGAATCCACATTCTCCAGGGCATTTTCATAGAACCCAGTCTCATAATACTCAAAATGTTCAGATACCATATTACCCCATATGAAAAGAACCAGTAAAATGTGAGCAGCTCTCAGGGGAAGACCACCAACAGGTGCTAACCCTGACATAAACAAAGGCTGGGACTACTGAAGCCTTTAAAATAACTTTTGTAACTATGCTCCGTGGTAGAAATAAACACTCCTGAAATGAACAGCCAGACACTACAAGACAGTAACTGAACGGAAATTTTACAACTGAAAGCTGTAATATTTGAAATAAAAAAAAAAAATCACTGGCAGAATGCAGGAAAGTCAGTGAAACTGAAGATCAATAGAAATAATCCAGTTTGAACAAACTGACAGAAAACATTAAAAACATGAACAAATAGTTTCAGACTTGCAGGGCCATATCAAAAGGTCTAATATTTGAGTACTGGAGTCCCAAAAGGATAAAAGGAAAAGATTAGCACATAAAAAAAAAAAAAAAAAAATTGAAGACATACTGGCTAATAACATCCTGAATTTAGTGACAGACATAAATTTATAGAATTAAGAAGCTTAGCAAACCCCAAAAGGACAAATGAAAAAAATCAGGCCCATGCACATCATAACCAAACTGCTGAAAAATCAAAGAAAGAAAAACTTGAAAGCAGCCAGACAAAAACAACACGTTGCATATAGAAGGAACAAGTATTCAATGGTTGTGCATTTCTCATCAGAAACGAGGGAAGCAAGAAGAAATGGGACAACATTTTGGGCTGAAAGAAAAGAATAATCAACCCAGAATTCCATATCCAGTAAAAACTCTTTAGAAATGACAGTAGAATATGAACATTCCTAGATGGAGGAAAGCTAAAAGAATTTGTCACCAGCAGAAAAATGCTTAAAAACAGAAACACTAAAGGAAGTTTTTCAGGCTGAAAGGAAGACAGACCAGAAGGAAGCTTGGAACTTCAAGAATGAAGCAAGAGCAACAGAAACAGGCAGCTGAGAGTCATCTGGGTCACTAGTGGTCTCCTGGGGAAAGCCAGTTCTAAGGAACAACAGATTCTTTTTGAAATATTCTACCAAGTCTCTAAGCCAAAGTCTTCTAGCCTTCAGAACAGAGAATCATGGGATCTGGTTAAGCAGATCTTTGTCTAATAGATATGGCAGAGTTTAGCCAAACAGCTGAAAGTATTAAACTGTCCTTAGACTTTATGTCTGTCATAAGTTTACATAGTGAGTGTTTTATATTTTAAGTAATACTTATATAAAGCATGTTAGTCTCCAAGTCCTGTCTGACCCCATGAACTGTAGCCTGCTGGGCTCCTCTGTCCATGGGATTTCCCAGATAGGAATACTGGAGTGGGTTGCCATTTCTTTCTCCAGGGGATCTTCCCGACCCAGGAATCGAACCCAGGTCTCCTGCACTGCAGGCAGATTCTTTACTGTCTGAGCAATATTATAATTCATCATCCAGGCTATATAAATAAAAAGTATGTTAAAGGAGAATGGATTGGAAATGCTAACTTTAAGTTTTAAAATATTAATAAATCAGGACCTTTGTTTCCATTGACTCTTAGTGAGTTCCATGCCGAGAAATACATCTTCAGTTATTACTAACTTTAAACATTATTGCTTTGCAGAAGTTGGTGGAAGGCTATACTTGGCCTTAAAACAATCTTGACCAAGCATCACGTTTTTAAAACCATCCTTAGGAAAGCTTGTTATATATCAGGAACTGTATTTCAACTTCATGCTGCATCTATTAATAAATGCCTTCAACAACATCAATTAAAGCCTACATATTTCCTGTTTCCAGACCAGATATATAAATGCAAGTGACACAGACATTCTATTACACATTAATAAACCTGTAGTTCATTAAAACAATCTCATAAGGTTCTCCACTGCCGCATGATAAAATCCAAACTTTAGCATTTCAGACAAAGCCCCATGTGACCTCCATGACCTCCTGCCCCCATGAATCCTCCCTGTTTCACCTCCTTCCTGCCATTCACGGCCTTTCTTTGTTATCCTCTAAATTTGGTAAATTCTGATTTAATCACAAGACTATTTTACATCCCCAATATCAAGCCTCCTTGATACTTGAAGGTATCGCCCTTCAATACACACTAGCTCCCAATGCTTTTTCACACCTCCGCTTCTTCTCCTAGGCTATACCCTTTGTCTCGAATGCCCCTTTCTCTTCCTCTCCTGACTGACTCTGATTAATTCAGCCTAAAATGCGACAATACAGGCATCAGAGCAGTTTTGTGTAAATAAAGAAGGTAATAAAGCACTAAGTAAAAAAACCACAGCCCACATCTGGGACTAAGACTTGCTCGACAAATAGTACCTAATGTCATTTCCTGTGAGGATTAATCCCCTATTCCTTCAGTTCTCAGTCTAAAAATACTTCTTGTCACATAATCCTTAGAGAGGGTGATGATAAAGTGATGAAAAAGCAGTGAAAAGAATTAAGATGGAGAGGAAAAAGCAACAAATAATTTGCCACACTGCTACTGCAGGGCAGGGTATGTCTATCCGCAAAAAACAAAACAACTGTAAAATATTCAGTTAAAGATGTTATGGCAACTTAGTATTTATAAGGGTGTTTATATAGCCCCCTCTTTGGGATAAATATAGCCAGACTACAGCGAGGTGGTTTCTCCCTCCAATCCCATTGAGTGGGGGCCAGGAGACATGCTATGGAGCAGGCGTGGACGTGGGGAGGCCTTGGGCTGGGAGAGCTTTTGTTACCAAAGCAGCTGCATCATGTCAGCACGTTAGCCACGCGCTGTGAGTCGGCAGGAGAGAGGATGTCACTGAAGGAGGTGTTTCTAAAACCCCTAAATCCTCCTGCCCCATTGCTGCTTGCTCCCACGGTCTATACCCTCTGGTCTCGTTCCAACACATAAACAAGAGGGCTTAGGACACATCCTATGGAATAAATGAGACAGAATCACGTGAGAAGGTTTCCTGGAACCGGCACCACTGAGAAACACATTCCTGGCTCGGCACGAGGTGAGGTTTTTAACAGAGAGCCCCTTTCAGCAGACCGGCCTGAGATGTACGAAGAGCTATGAGCACAGGGGCAGGCAGCCCCTCTGGGGCTGTGGGGAGAGCAGCTGGGCACAGCTGGGCTGAGATCTCCAGGGCGTGTGGGAAGACAGCAGTATCACGGTCATTCTGAAAGTGCTTTACATTTAAAATTTCTGTAGGAGCAGCAACTGCTAACAACTCAATTCCAACACTGTGCTTTCAAGCTTTTCCCTGTGGCACAGGGGAGCCGATCTAAAGAGCAACCCTTCCTTTTCTTGAAGTATCTTTTGACAATCAGTCTCTTTTTCCTTAAAAGTTTCTAGACTTCCTAGTTTTCCTTTTGACTATGAAATACGAGAAGAAAATGACACAGACCATTGGCATTGGTTGGTCAACTGTGGAGTTTCGGGGTCCCTGTGTTGAACCAGGAAGCAGGTGACCTGGGTTCTAGTCCCAGCTGTGTGGCTTGTAGGAAATCCACCTTAATCCCTCTAACCCTTCACTTTTGTCATTTGTAAAAAGGACAAAGACAGGACAGCTGTGAGGCAACAGCTCCAAGGGCATTGTACATGGAGAATCTCTGATGGCTCAGGGAGGTTGGTGATGTCACAGGCCTTCCCCTGGCTCCCACCCGCCGCTGCTATAAGGCACCAGTAAGCCTGCAAGAACTCTCTTTCTGGGGGAGCAGAGCAAAGGCCCCCATTCTTTCTTTACCTTCTTTTCGTTGATGTCTGCCTGCTCCTCTTCCTCATTCACCTCTTCCGGCATAGCCTTGATTTTGTTTAGAAGCTCGGCCTTGGGAGCAGACACGCTGTAGTAGGCAGGACAGTTGACCAACATGCCCACCGCTTCCTTGTCGTCACTCCTGGGTCAGAGAGAACAAAAGAGTACAGCTACATGCAGCTTCATTTCATCACACGTCTGTCCATTTGGAAACGTGTAAAAAAATTCTATGTAATATCTTCCCGGGGTTAGGATGACCTAATAAATATTTATGATTGACTGATCACTATGTGTGGGGCTCTTGAAGCCAGAGTACTTGGGATGGAAAACCACAAAGGGCAATATTACGATGGGGAGTGGACTGTGGACATTTAACCTTTCTGCATGGTTCTCCTCTTGTGATAAATATCAGAATGACACTGACTTCCTGTTTCACAGAGAGACAACAGGGAGCCAAGACTTGGTCAATGTGACAGTGTTTTCAAGGTGCTGCACCAAACTCAGTTTTTAGGTTACTTATTTCCTACTCCTCTTTAGTTTCCGTAGTGTTTCTGATGCCTACTATAATTGTTGCTTGGACATTTACCAGTTTTCCTTTTTCATGAACGCTTGAGGCTCCAGGTAAGCCTGAAAAACCTGGAGCCTGCTGGTCAACAATGAACGCATACAAAATGTAAAACCTAGTCACTGGTTAAAACAGCAGGGGGGTTTTCAAGGATGGAGGACAATCTAGAAGTTGTGGACCTGATAACTAAGGTCTTTGTTTTATTACAATCAAGCTCTCCCTCACACTCTATAGGTAAGATTCTCAGTTGAGTTCAGTCGCTCAGTCGTGTCTGACTCTTTGCAACCCCATGGACTGCAGCATGCCAGGCTTCCCTGTCCATCACCAACTCCTGGAGCTTGTTCAAACTCATATGCCATCCAACCATCTTATTGTCTGTTGTCCCCTTCTCCTCCTGCCTTCAATCTTTCCCAGCATCAGGGCCTTTTCCAGGGAGTCAGTAGCTAAGACCCTACTCACTGAATAAAGGACTCTGTGGGCATAATTAGTTTTCTCGGACATAATCCTGTGACATCATTTAACATCTAAACCATCCGTTTACTATGGAATTCAGAACCACCAGAAGGCTGTTTTCACTAATTTCCCAATTGGTGAGGTTATTCCTCTAAAAAATATAGTTACATTATTCCAGTTAGTGGGGGGTGGGGAAAAAAAAAAAAACATGGTAAAAAGGTCTTCTGATATGCCCTGCCTCCCCACATATTCGTTGCCTTACAAATGGGCTTCTTGGGCGTCTTATCGGATCACCTGAAGCCCCCAGTGGCTATCTGCAGTCTCACACACGACAGGATGATGCTCACTCTAACCAGAAGATGGCGCACGTCATCCTCCTGAAATCTTTGAGGAAGCTCTCCATGCTGCCAAAGCCACGTGAGGATTTCTTAACTTTTGTTCTCAGAGATAACGCCAGGAAATGCTTTTCTAAGAATGTATGTGTCAACTACTCTGGTCTTCCTATCGCGAGTGGCTGGAAGACAACCACCCATGGTGAACCGACTGGCACATCCATAAAAATTCATCTCTGGGTCCACGGGGGACCCAGTGGACTGCCCTGCACATTGTGGGTGCTTAACAAGTGTTTGCTAAGCACATGGCCCTGCATAAGTCACTTCCTGTTAGTCTCTGTAAGAGACTGAAAGAGGAGAGGCTGGACAAGGTTACTGTTGAGGGCTTGGATAAGGCGATCAGGCCTCTGATAACCCATCAGACAGCCTGGAAACACCACATAGTTCTTCCCTTTCTCCCCTCCCCACAACTCAAAACACAGCGTTCCTGTAATTTCGTTAGGATCAGTTGGAAATTTCTAAAATGCAAGCCCAAATTTAGATGAAATGCCCTCTGATTTGTTGGTGGTCTTGAAGCCACCAACTGTGGAGTTTCAGCCTGTTGATTCATATAGTTTTCATTGAAAACTTGTAATAAAATTTAAAAAAAAACCACTCTAAATCTCTCCCATAGTAGCTTCAAGGAAATCAAACATGCAAGGAAAATACTGCAGGAACTCAGGAGAAATCAAAAGAAGGAAAAAGACAAATTGCTCACGGCCCCCTCATCGGATCATCGCCCCCACGGAAGCAATTTAATTTGAAGTCTGTCTGGGGACATTGCCAGGGACTTACCTCTTGGTCTCACATCCTGGGAAGCTAATGGTTTTCTGCACGGCCTTCCTCTTTATGCTGTTTTCCTTCAGCAAATTAACATCTCGAGGAAACAAACCTTCCATCAGGTCCATAGTTGTCTTCATTCTGGAGTCTGGGTCCAAAATGTCTGCCAGAGATTTGTCTTGGTGGATAATTTCCTTGGCCAGGGTCTCTGTTCTGATGTCTTCTGAGGTCTTCTGAGGACCAGAACTGACATGCTTTTCTAAACCTGCAGTCCCACTGGCTGGCTCGTGGATGAGGCTGTGGGTCTGTGTGGGAGGTGGCTGGCCTGGGCTTGGCTGCTTGCTTAGGGACCCAGCAGGCTGGGACAGAGCACCCGTGGTGGAGGGCGGGTTGGTCTCCTTGGCCTCGAAACTCTTGCCTGAAGTTTGCGATCTGGAACCCAGCAGCTGATTATCAACCAGAAGGGCTGCACCAGGCATGGACCTTTCCTTGGCAACTGTCACCTTGGCAAGTTTGCTGGAGCTGCCAGGGATATTAAAAAAAAGAGAGTGGGTGAGGGGAGTCAGCAGAGGGTGAAAGAAGACAGAGAGAGATTGGCACAGGGGTGCAGCTTCCCACACAGGTCAGGAGATTCTGAGGTTGTCATTCCCACAAACAGCAGGGCTCTAAAGGGTCACAGAGAGGCTTTTAAGGGGGATGTGAGCCTTTTAAGGGGGATGTGACTTGTTAAGGGGGAAGGATTGAACAGGAGTTCAGTTTTGGTGAATGTTGCTCTCAGATTCCAGAGCTTTATGAAAAGTGAACAGAGGATTATAGTGGTGCTTACAGGAAGTTACCACAAAGGTGCAGATGTATCTTCAGTGTTGTCCTAGGGAGTTATGTGTTGGGAAATGCTCCTTCCCCATTCTTCTGGCTTCCAAGAAGAGGTTTTCCCTAAACATTACTGACCCTCAGCCTTCCTCTTCATTCCTCCCTATGCATACAGAGTGATTCTGCAAAGAGAAGCTGCCCACAGCCCATCCACAGCCTCTTTTTTTAGAGTAAGGCTGCCGCTAGACTCGCTCTGGCATGCTCACGTGTGCTCATTGCGTGTATGTGCGTCTAGCACAGCCTGTGACTTAGGTGGGCAACCCTTTTTAATTTGAGGTTCAGAGTCAGGAGACTCACTTATACTCAGACAGAAGCCATACTCTCTAGGATCAGCTCTCTCAGTAATAAGAGTGATTATTTTTGTCTCCTGTATGCCTTTTCCTTCTGTCTTATTTCTTAACTGATTCAGAACTCTCAGCAGGGAAGAGGGATGCTGTTTATTTAGACTCTCTGAGCCTGCCACGCCCACAGAAGTAAACCTGGCCTCTTGGGTTCTGGCTTCCATTTCCACTAGTCTCACTCCTCAGCGCTGAAAGACTGCTAGCATAATGACTTGTTGCTGTGCTTCGTTATGTCTGACTTTGCAACCCTGTGGGCTGGAGCCCACCAGGCTCCTCTGTCCATGGAATTTTTCAGGCAAAAACACTGGAGTGGGTTGCCGTTTTCTCCTCCAGGGAATCTTCCCCACCCAGGGATGGAACCCGCATCTCCTGTATCTCCTGCACTGTAGGTGGATTCCTCACCGCAGAGCCATTGCGGAAGCCCTGCATAAGGACTACCAAGGTCAACAGATGAAACAGTTCTGTCATCTTGTGAAACTGACATGGCTCTCCAGGGGCCAGCAGAAGCAGCTCAGGGCAGCCTGCAGCATGGAAATCTTACCAGGGGAAATTTCCCCTGGCAGAGGCCTGCGATCTCACCTGGCGCAGGGCTCCAGGTAGCCCTCCTCCCACTGGGCCGGGCACACAGCTTCGGGGGGAGGCGGAGGGAAGTGGTCCAGGCCCTGGGCCGGGGATGCCTGGCTGGTTGTTGGTGGCTGGGGCAGCGGCAGCAGGTCATCGCAGCGGGCGCTGGAAGTGATGGTGGGGCGTGGGTCCCTCACAAACACCTCGTCGTCCTCACAGTCCTCTCGAGGTGGCGGGGAAGCCAGCAAGGCCGACTCGGAGATCCGGAGGGAAATCCTGCCCAGCATGCCTGGGGCCCTGAGAGGCGTATCCGGGTCAGAAGTGCTGCTCGAGCTGGGGGCATCCCGTGGCTTGGGATAGTGCTTCGGGGGGTCCTCGGAGAGGCTCTCCTCTCTGACCGTATAGGTCCGCTTCATCCAGGGCGGGGAGGCCCGCATCCCTGCGCGCTCTTCCATCCCACGCTCAGGGCTAGGAGGCTGGGCCGGGCTGTGGCCGCCACCACTTCTGGGGGTCCCAGCTGGTGTGGAGGGCTGGGCTGCGGCCTGTGAGCAATAGCTCGAAGGGCCAGGGGCTGGCAGGACTGAGCTCAGAGGTGCAGCCCTGGCGTCTGGAAGATGCCTGTGAGCTCCCGAGGACAGTGGCGGAGGGCAAGGCGTTCTGCTGGCCTGTCTCGGAGGGTCCAGTGGCCCCGGACCCCCGTTGGGCACAGAGGTACCACCACTACCTGCTTTGCAGCCCGAATCCCCCCAGTGAGGGCTGGGATGGTGTCTGAGCGCTGGCATCTCTTCACGGCTGGAACAGCTGAATGGCCTAGAGCAGGATACAGTAACGTGGGTTAGCACTGATGAAAAGGGGCAAACGCTGAGCCCAAGGTGCATTCCACAGATGGGAAAAGCCTCTGATGGGAGAAGGACCCTGGAGAAACTGCACACTGCTTCCCCCTGGCTGCTCAGACAAAGAACCTAAAACTTTAAATGCAACGGCGGGATAGCCATAAACTCCTGCAGGAAAATGTCACAGGGCAAGCCTGGGGTCACAGGGCATTTCTTTTATTAATTCTCTCTCATCCCCCTTCCTCCATGTAAGGCAGCATTTGAGGACAGGCTTCAGGACATTTCTTCTGCTCCTTTTAGACCAAGTTTGGGAACCAGCTCCTGACTTCTCAGGGAAAGGATGCTCCCTCATTCTCTTGCCAGTGAGCCCCCACAGGGGTGGTCTGTTTGGAAAGTATTTGCATGGGCTGCTGAAACAACTTTCTCTTGGATTTCCAGTGTTCTCATTTCTCCAAATGGAAAGAAAGAAAGAAAGAAAAGGAGTGTCTCATCTAAGGAGCTAATAAGCAGTTTCCTCTGGAGAAAGAGACAGACCGTAATGAGCAAACAGCATGCACGGTGGTTTAAACAGCTGTCTTCTGGGCTCCAAGGAAAAACCCAACAATTCCCAGTACTTTTGTTATTGTGTTTGAAAGGAAAAAAAGGAAAACAAAACAAAGAAAACACGTCTGCAGCACTGCCTGCCTGCCATGCAAGAGTTAATGTGAGGACTGAAAAGTCTCCAGCAAACATCCATAGTTCATAAATCCCACATCTGTAGCTCGCCGCCTAGTGTGCAAGTGAATCTGGAAAGCAGATGGCACTCTTCATTCCACAGACCCGCGTCCTGAGGGGGCTGTGGCTCGGGCCCAGGCAGTCAGCACAGTCCTGGCCACAAAATCGTCTAAGGCCAGATGAGGGTTAAAGCAGAATAAAGAAGGAAAAGACTCCGAAGAGCCCAACTAGCTCTTCTCCTGCCTGTTATTTTCTCTTTAATATAAAACGTAGTAAGGTATCCATCTTCCACTCAGATGCAAACCCTCCTTCCCACTATACATCTTTTCATTTATAGGCAGCTTCTTTATCAGGAACCTCTCAATATCCAAGAGTGGCTATTCTGTCGTCCTTGGCGGGTTCCCAAATGGGTACACCAGAAACCCAGGGGTGGGAGATTCACTGAGGGTGTTCTCTACTCCCACGTCTTATTCATGTTGGGACCCACAGCCCCCCCAATTCTGGCACAAAGCACCCTCTCAATAAATGTCTGTTTGAACAATGTCTCTTTTGCCCGCTGCTATTTAGATCGTAGGCCATGAATTATTTTTGAACTTAGCATCCTCTAATAGGACATGGAATAACTGGAATCTGATGTTTTAAGGACTAATTCATGTTGTAATTTCATATTGCTTTCTAAAAAAGGGGAGACGTCACTAAAACACACAATAAAATAATGTGTATCTTTTAAAGATCCAGCCAAAATAAACTTTGATATAATGTTTTTAGTTTATGCTTAATCTTCTTAGTTTATAGAAACTACATTTAAACTGTATATTTTTGAACATAGTAGTTTAGTTAAATGCTTAGTTTGATTGAGAATATGTCTTCCTGGTGATTGTTTTCCAAGAATAAAGACTAGTGTCATAAAGATTTTGTTTCAGTCTCTTATAATCGAGTGTGAGACAAGCATCTACTGATATGTATTCAGCAATCATAGTATTCATGAATGAAGTTTGATTAGTCTGATTTTCTTCCTCATAGCATTTTTAAAAATATGGTTATAAAAATCCTATAACATAAAATTTACTACTTTAAATTCATTTTAAAATGTTCAGTTAAGTATATCCATATTGTTGCAAAACAGACCTCCAGAACATTTTCATCTTGTGAATCTGAAACTAGGTAACTAGTAAGCAACAACTCTTTTCCCCACTCCTCCAGCCCTTGTAACCGCCATTCTATTTTTCTACAAATTTGACTACTTTAGATACCTCATACAAATGGAACCATCAAGTATTTCTGACTGGTTTAACTGGCTTAGCATAACGTCCTCAAAGTTCATCCATGTTGTAGTCTGTGACAGCATTTCCTTCCTTTTAAAGGCTGAACAATATCCCAGTGTATGCACACACCTCATTTTGTTTATCTACTCAACCACCTGTGGACAACTGAGTTGCTTCCCCCTCTTTGCTATCATGAATAGTGTTGCTGCGAACATGGGTATAAAAATCTCCCTTCAAAACACTGCTTTCAATTCTTTGGATTTATACTCAGAGGTGGGATTGCTTGGCCATGATAGATTTTTAATTTTTTGAGGAACCTCCATACTGTTTCCTATAGCAGTTACATCATTTTGTAATCCTACCAACAGTGCACAGGGGTTCCAATGTCGCCACATCCTCACCAACACTTGTTCTTTTGTTTTTTTGATTGTAGCCATCCTAATGAGTGTGCTTTCGACTTGCATTTCTCTGTGGATTAGTGATGTGCAGTACCTTTCCGTGTGCCTGTTTGTTATTTGGAGGAATGTCTATTCAAGTCCTTTGTGTAATCGGGCAATTTGATTTTTTGTGGTTGACTTTAGTTTCACCTTAGACTTCAGAACAGTCCTCTTTTGGCAGAGCTCTAGTTCTAGTTAACCTTCTCTTCTTTCTAGCTTTGAATCAATGCACCCAAACTAACTAACGCCCTTAGCCTCACCTTGACTCCTTGCTTCACTTTGGGAAGAGCTACAGGAGCAAAAGCAACTATACAAGGCTGCCCTTGGCAGTGAAGGAGGTAACTTAAAACCCACTTCCTGACCATGCTGCAGTTACTAGGCTGAATTACTGAGAAGATGAATACAGAAAAAGAGAAGCAACGACTGAGTGAAACAAAATAAATACTAAAGAACTGGCCTAAAAAAATCCATGAGAGATTAAGTATATTACCTTTAGTTATAACAGATTACAGCAGATAGTCCTACAGTGCTGCATTAAAATTACGTACAGACACGTGGTTCAGACGAAACTCTCTTTGGAAATTCTTACTCATTAAGCTCAAAATGAATAGTTCAAAGATCCTACTTCTAAAAATCATCCACTATATTTTTTCAAGGAGAAATGATTTTGAAGGCAATTAAAAAAAAAAAAAAGACTTTCTTGCTGTCTTCTAAGTGCCTACAATAATGATTTGTCTTGTTATGTGAAGCTGTTCATGAATGGTCATGCTTCCCCTAGTGCTTTATTCAGAGACCTGATCCTGCGGGTCCCAGCCAGAAGAGATCAGCCACACCAGAGAGGACCCACTTGAGAAAGTCAGAGGATATGCTGGAGAAAGGCACAACCATCAACCATTCTGATGTGAACATACGAGAAATCACCCACTGCCTCAACAGCACATGTTCAAAACCTGTTCTGAAGAGTACCATTCTTAGACAAAGTCATCTGTAGATAAAGAAGTTTCCCATAGCCTAGACAAACCAAAAAGGCAGCATCAGACACCATGAAACATCATAACATCTTAATTCAATTTCTAGTAGAGACAAACAGAAGCATTTAACTCCAGCAGCATTCATGAGGCAGAGAGCATCATAACTATAGACACATACCTGGAACCTGGGCCAGCCAAGTAACACGGATCCTTCATGAGACCAAAGTCATTGTTTTCCCCCAAAAGCACATCCTTAAAACAGAAGAGAGGCACAGCGTTATTACCAACAAATGGGTGTCACAATTTACCAAGGGGGTGCAGGTATAAAGGAGATGGAACATTTATTGGTGGTCCACTCTTTATTGTCAGGCTCATGGCAGCATTGTTACATACGAACCCAGGTTATCCTCAAAGCCTCAGGAGGTGCTGTGAACCCCACTGCACTGATGAGGACACAGGCCCAAGAGGTTAACTTTTCCAAGGTCACAAGCGGTAGAACCTCAGTCTGTCTCATGGGGTGCCCCTCTTAACCAAGACATTTTCTAAACAAGAGAGGTCTGATGACAATTACCTTCAGAGTTCAGAAACAACTGCTATACTTGAAGTATAAAGATGAAAATTAATTCAAAGGGCAAAGCTTTCAAAATAGCAACAGGGAAATATGGGAGATGACAAGAAAAGGAGAGTTATTAAATTTAGCAAAATCCCAAGAATCAGATAGGAATCTGACTTGTAATCAGGTTGATATACATTCTTTCTGGGAAAAACATCTCATCCACATGTCATATCAGTAACTCTGGGGACACTTCAAGGGTAGTCATTATTTGCTTGTTTTTTTTTTTTAAGGAGAATTTGAACTTTATTTTTCAAAATTAAGATCAAATAATTCACATGTATTGTTATTTAATCAAATGTTAATTGGAGAAGAAATGCCTTTCTTTTATCTATGTTTTAAGCAACTTTTCATCAACAATAAAATGAAACATAAGTAGTATATAAATTTTTCTTTCATTAAACTTCTTAAAAAGGGGAAGAATCTTAATTACACAGCTTCAATATTATAAATGATAATAATTTGTGATTTGTTCTTTCCCTAATTAGGTAATAAGAGTTCAGTTCAGTCACTCAGTCATGTCGGACTCTTTGCAATCCCACGGACTGCAGCATGCCAGGCTTCATTGTCCATTGCGAACACCCAGAGCTTGCTCAGACTCATGTCCATCGAGTCAGTGACGCCATCCAACCACCTCATCCTCTGTCATCCCCTTCTTCTCCCGCCTTCAATCTTTCCCAGCATCATGGTCTTTTCCAATGAGTCAGTTCTTCGCATCAAGTGGCCAAAGTATTGGAGTTTCAGCTTCAGCATCAGTCCTAACGGATTAAGACTCTGCCTGCTGTTCTAGGAGGGTTCATAATTTTCATCAATTGAAAAATATGAAAGCATATATTCTTAGATTCCAACTGAATTTTCTCTTCATTCAGCTGCTCTGCTGCTCTCTGGATTTTCTCACGACATCTGTTTATTTCTGACCTTACTTCCCGCATCAAGCGGCGGCTCTCCTCCGCCTGGTGCTCGGAGAATATGATGTGCTGGAACAAAGACTCCAGACTCATCTCAGGCTGCGCTCCTGCTGCTCCCGTCTTCGTCCTTAAAATATTTTATAACCGAGTCTGAGGATCCTGCAACAATATGGTGGGCTGGACACCTAGCAGAAGGCCTCACTTCGCGGGTCTCTGGGAACTGAGCCTACGGTGTCTCTTGTTTCTGTTTTTAATACGGGTATATACTGGTTTCTGGTGGGTTATAGGTCAGCTTTTGATAGTGTAAAATCAGTTCATATGTACAGGTTCCTGATGAAGACCATGATGTTGCTCTTCATAAAACTCTCAATTATTTATGATAACAGGAGTCAGGTAGAAAACAAGAAAATTAAATCCACAGGTAATCCATAAACTTAATTTCAGCATTTCCCCCTTTATTCTGCCCAAAGAGCTAATTGCTTTTCATCCCCTTTCTCTTTCTTTCCTGCCCCTTCCCCCTAGTCAGTGGTAGAGGTAATAATAAGCAAGAAGAGCCAGAGGTGGGTGGGAACAGGCCCAAAGAAGAAACAAGCCTGAATATTACTAATAACCACAGCTTCCTCTTACTATGTGCTGGACATTCTGCCAAGTTCCTTATGATCCTCAAGTGACGTGCTTGGAGTCATGTCAGGCATCTGACATTTCTTCTGTAATTTAATCTATAACAATGGGGAGCGGGGCGGAAACTGCAGCTCAGAGAGGGTGAGTATAGTACTGACAATTAAGTAAGGAGCTGGGATTCAAACCGTGATTTCCTCAAAGCCTAAGGGTGATCTTTAGAATCTTAAGTTGAGTGGTGGCTGAGTTGGATGCAATAAGACATCAGTACTTTGAGAAAAAAGAATTCCATGAGTCTCTGATTTGCTCAAGTATCACTAGAGGGAATGGGAATTCCTACTCTTCACAAAACTTTACAGGCCATTTATAACAAGCAAAGACCTACTGCACAGCACAGGAAATTCTGCTCAATATTCTGTAATAACCTAAATAGGAAGTGAAGTGCAAGTTGCTCAGTCGTGTCTGACTCTGCGACCTCACGGACTGCAGCCTGACAGACTTCTCTGACCACAGAATTCTGCAGGCAAGAACACTGGAGTGGGTAGTTGTTCTCTTCTCCGGGGGATCTTCCCAACCCAGGGATCGAACCCAGGTCTCCTGCATTGCAGGCGGACTCTTTACCAGCTGAGCTATCAGGGAAATCCAGGGCAATAAATAGAGAATTTGAAAAAGAATAGGTCCAAGACAAATCACCTTGCTACACACGTGAAATCAACACAATGTTGATAATCAACTATACTCCAATATAGAAAAAAAATGTACACATTGTTCAATGAAAGAAAACAAAACTAAACCCTTATGGTCTCTTTTAAAGTCTTTCTCAAAAAAATAAAAAAATAAATAAAGTCTTTCTCTACTCCACTCCCTCGCTCACAAGAATATTCAGCTTCACCAGTTATTAAGTGGAAAAGCCTCTAGGTCCCCTCAAAGCTAATAATGTTCAAATATATACTTCCATTCTATTACTTCCTTTAAATTACAGCATGTGCTTGATATTTATGAGGATATGCATAAAATAAAGGAACTGAGAGCCAGTAATAGTCCACTGAGAGAAATTTCTACATCTCCTGTCAATGGAAATACCATTTGAACTGAAGGGAAATTCCTTCCCAACCCAGTAGAAAACCCAAGGAGGATTCATTCCTACTGCACATATTTGCTGTGATTGGGCATGTATGCACTGTCAAAGACGACTTGATTTTCTGTAAACTGGTAAGCAGTATAAACTACTATGACAATTTAGGAAAAAGCAGTGGCTATGGGGGAAATACTGAGTAATACCAACACTCATTAAGTGTGTTTTTTTGTCTCTAACTTTGTTTGACTGACTTAGAAGCACACCAGTTCTTATTCTTTATTAGGCACACTACACTTAAAACTATAAACTTAAATCCTAACAAATTCTGATTCTCACTCTTACTTTGAGTTCTGAATTAAGATATCCTAATATCTCTATGACCAATAAAACATGAAGACAATATTCATCTACTTTGGAATATCAACTTCAAGTATCTACCAAAATGAATTCGAAATTTTAAAAAATATTGTTTAAGTAGCAGTAACTGATAAATGTTAAAATGAAGTCAATTCACTGGCTAGAGTTTTCAGATATAAGGTGTTAACTCTCATCTCTCAGTGTTTTTTTATACCAGGAGGCAGCACGTATAGTGACTTAAAATCTCTGGAGTCAAAACCTCACTTCTACCAGGTAGGGCAAATTTCTCAATTTTTCTACGCCTTCGTTTCCTCATCTGTAATATGGGAATAACAATAGTATCTTCTCCTTTGCATGGATGTAGGACTAGTTTTATGCTTATAAAACACAGTGACTAGCACATAGTGTATATTTAATTAATAGTAGCTATTTGCAACTTTACATTTTGTGGAAAGTGATTGTTATTTATCCCCAAGCTTGAATGGGTGCTTGTTGAGAAGTACTAAAAATGGTTGGCAAGCTGTATCCTACAGAATCGAGACTATAATCCGACACTGTGGTGTTCCATGTAAATTTCCTCAGCAATGAAATGTTTTGTCACATCTTCACATGGTCAATATGCCACATAACAAGAAATGAAGATCTTTGAAAACACAGTGAGAACCAGAACATCTACTTCAACATCTGGGAGGAAAAAAAAAAAAAATACCCCACCAGAAATCTCATTTCTCCAAAAGATTTCTTTTTATAGCTTCTGCTATATTTTAGATCTATGCATTGAATGGGTAGAAATTTCCATCTCCAAGGCAAAAATGTTTGAATTTTTTCCAGCTGCTTTGCAGGGCCTACCTAGTTTAAATCAGTTTAGTTTTCTAAAGTATCTTAGAAAACAGAAAGCAGCCAAGAATTTGATGGGCACTTCAGCTCCATCAGTAATATTCATTTGTTCTGCAATTACACTTTTCAAATTAAGAAGAATTAAAGGAGAGGGAACAAGAGGTGGTTTGTTCAGAGACAACCACTGCTGGCTAAGGGAAGGCTGAGTGTCTGAGCAGGTCTTGGGCTACAAGTGGTGGCAGCGTTCTGCAGCCATCATTTCAGACCCAAGAATGACCAAGTTTTATAAACAGAGAAATCAATTTCTGCGCTGACCTTGTTTTGGAAACAGAAACTATCCTCACTAATAGACCTTTGAAATGGAGCTGAATCCTGGTCCAAAGCTTGCAAAATCCTGTGCTATTAGCATCTGGCTGGCAGGAGCAAGCAGCAGTTGTTTGGGAGGACACTGACTGAGCTGGCACCATAAAATAGACTCCATATTTTTGGTTTAACTCAGGCAGATGGTTTACTTTCTACAGGGTCATTTAAATTCTCAGAGTTCTCTAAAGCTGAGATGAGAAAATCCTTATTTAACACCTTCACCAAAGCTTAATGATAATGGTAAAAGTTCCTGGACTTTATTCAAATAAATAATAGTATCTTGAAATAATAACCACAATAATTACGTGGAGACTAGTTTTGTTTTTAATTAGTTCTACAACCTAGGCAGACAATGGATATATGACGATGTAAGGGGCGGATCTTGCCAGGGAACAGGTCTCAGGGCAGGCACGGTGAGGCTGCTCAGCAAGGGAATGCAGGAGGAAGCCTGAGAACAAGGTCTTGGCATAGCTGCCATCTGGGGGGTGATAAACTATGTTCAGAATCTCTAGGAGCAAAGCAGCAGTATTTCACGTTGAAATGTTTCATTCCGCCATCACATCCCCCACTTTCTAAATACAGCAGTGGCTATATTTAAGAGAACATAAATAATGTCATGTATTTATGCTGTCTTTCTAGAAAGTTTTTCAAATAATACCCAAGAATTGGGATTTAATTGGGATCATTTTTCTATATGGCCTATGTTTGAGCTCTATTTCCCAGTTTATCAGGTTTGAGAAATATTTGGAAGGGAAGGCAAAATAACATTCGGAACCATCCAACCACTTTCTCAGGAGAGAATGATGACATGTAGTGGGGAATAAACAATAGAAGATGATCTGGTTTTCAGCTAAACATTTCTATTTCCTTTAGAACATGGGGAGAGAAATGAAAATGCTTGCTCTGCTATGTAGTGAGCCTCCGAAGCCCATCAAACTAGCTGAAATGGCATGCTACATAAATGGACTGTGTTTTTTCTTAGTTCCCGGACCAGGGATCGAAACCGTGCCCCCTGCAGTGGAAGCATGGAGTCTTAACCACTCACTGGACCACCAGAGAGGACCCACATATATGGATTGTTAAAGTGTTTTTAGAGGTAGGATAAGCACTGGAAATTATCTCTGTTCAACATTCCAAGGGGAGAAAAACAGCTATTGGAGGCTTATGGAGGATTGCTTCTATAGATTCTGTGCTTATGTGTGTGGGGGTGGTGGTGGTTTATATTGGGGATAAAATATTTCTTAAGAGAAAGTGTCTGGACGCGACTGGTATTTTCCCTCGGAAGGCTGTGTGTATGTGTGTTTCAGAAGCAGTGAAGCAAACAGATCACTCAGGCAGTGATGGCTAACTGTGAAGCCGTTTCCTCCAACCTATAATGCCTCTGCACACAACCCGCAACCCTTTGTCAACATCTTGCCCATTCTTTACCGCCTGGTTCAAATCCCTTCTCTTTCAAGAGATGCTCTCTCCGATCCCCTCAATTAAAACTAATCGGTGTCCCTCCCATAGCATGTTATTTATGATCACTCCCAAAGCACTCACCATTTGTGTTATCTGTATATAAGTACATAGTCTTGGCTCAATTGTAAACCCCAGAAAGGCATGACCTTTATTTTCCTTTACGTTTCCTTCAAACCTATAATGCAGTCCTGTTCATAAAACATGGGCTCTACAAATGCTTGCTGAATCACTGCACTCTCTGCTGGAGAAGAGAGGCTGAAGGGTCAGTGGAGGGGTGTTCTCCCCGTGTGGTAACATACAGGTGACTCCCTCATATCTTCTGACCTGGGAAGGGAATCACGAGGGAGGCCAGTGAGCGGCAGCGCCAGCCGGGCTTGAAGACAGGCTATGAGCTAGGGCGACTAACAGAGCCCTGGGCGTCAGAGCGCTTGGACTTTATCCCCAGCTCTCCTAAAATTTCCATGGGAAAGTTCCTCATGATCTATCCACAGTTTGGAGCCTTTATGAGAAAAATCCTTTAATGTGAGAATCTGAAAGTCTGACATTCTCCTATCTCACCAAGATAGTATAAAGAAAGAGGCAGAGATACAAATTTGATATGGATAATATGGGCTTCCCCGGTGGCTCAGACGGTAAAGAATCCTCTTACAATGGGTTCGATCCCTGGGCTGGGGAGATCCCCTGGAGGAGGGCATGACAACCCACTGCAGTGTTCTTGCCTGGAGAAGTCCCATGAACAGAGGAGCCTGGTGAGCTACAGTCCATAGGGTTGCAGAGAGTTGGACATGGCTGAGCGATTAAGCACAGCACAGCACATGGATAATATATTCTACTACACAGGATTATTTTGAGGATTAATGAGATAATAAATGTTAAAGTGGGGCTTCCCAAGTGGTGCTAGTGGTGAAGGATCTGCCTGCCAGTGCAGAAGGTGCCAGAGATGTAGGTTCGATTCCTGGCTCAGGAAGATACCCTGGAGAAAGAAATGGCAACCCACTCCAGTATTTTTGCCTGGAAAATCCCATGGACACAGGACCCTGGTGGGCTACAGTCCATGGGGTTGCAAAGAGTGGGACAAGACTGTGCATGTATCCACACCTAAATGTAAAAGCATTCTTAGTTGAGGGCCTGGAACTCAATAACCATGATCAAAGTCAATAATAATACCTATTTTGCTAATGCAAAAGTCCAACAGAAACAAAGAGGGTATGAAAATAAAACTCTTTAAAATGCTAAGACACAGCTTCTATCACACAAACTTGAAAGAAAAAAAAATACATTAAATGATATGGTCAGTGTCAGCAGAATAAACGGGAATACATTAAACTTGAAAAAAAAAACAAAAGAAAAACAAAAAGCATGAAAGATAAAAAGATAATCCGTAACTTTTCCTAATCTAATTCTTACACTGGTAAGAGGATGACACTAAAATGTAATTTTTACACATACATACTGTAGTCCATGGGGTCACAAAGAGTCGGACACAATTGAGCAACTGAACAAACATAACATGCACGTACTATATAAACATATGTGTGAATATATATTATACACAGTTGTCTTCCAGTGCAGTGCAGTGCTGTCTGCACCTTTGACTCCCTTCGGCTACAGGATCCCCTGGGATGGATACCAAAATCTGCCTGATGCTATGTAAAATGGCATAATATTTGCATATAACCTACTTATAATGCAAATACTATGTAAGTAGTTGCTGGTGTGTTGGCAAATTCAAGTTTTGCTTTTTGGAACTTTCTGGAATTTTCCCGAATATTTTCCATTCCAGTGCAAAATCAGAAATGAGGCCTACTATGTGTGTGTGTATATATATATATATCTATAGACACACATAGATATCTATATTGATATGTATGTTTCCACCTAAGACACAACTATATAGATACCTATGAATATCTCTATTTCTGTAAGGACCCCAGATCAGATAGGGGCACTAAGAAAGACATCCCCTTATGAAAACAAATGCTACTCTCTTGCATGCTAAAGGAGAACAAAGGGTGAAGGAGGGGTTAGAGGAGTCACACTAAGGCTTGGCGGACTGAAGCGGTAGTGCTAGGATCCGCGGGCTGCACGTACCTGGCGCTTGTCTGCGGTGGGAGATGACCGTGACCTCACGTGGACAGGGGCAGTCTGGACATCCGAGCGCTCCAGCAGGTCCTCGGCCGACATGGACTTTGCAGCCCTCCCAGCCGTGGCCCCCCACGGGGAGGGCTCCCCTGGGGTCCCGTTCAGTCTCTGGGGGCCCTTTGATCCACTGTTAGCTCCACCGAGCAGTTCTCTTGGCGCTGGGTCGCCGCGGTGCCTTTCCCCAAGGTGGCGGCCGCCGGCAAAGGAGCTGCTGCGATCTCGGGAGGCCCGCTGGGTCTCCCCAGCACTCCCCACCGCAGTGGCTGGCAGAAGGGCGGTCTCCCTGCGGGGCGGCAGGCTGGGCTCCCGAAGCGAGCAGAAACTGGAAGCCGAGGCGAGGCCCGGGCCCTCGGGCAGGAGGTAGGTGCTCTGGGCGCGCTCCAGCAGCCGCCCGGGCTCCTGCAGGCCGCAGCCGGCGCCCGCGGGCCGCTTGCCGGTCTTGCGCTGAATGTAGTCGGCCAGCGCGCTCTGCTGGAACTGCTTTAGCTCGGGGCCCGACAGGCTGAGGGTCGAGCACGCTCTGCCCTCTCGCTCGAAGATGCGGCGCCGGTCGGTCACCGAGCCCTCCACAAAATGCGGCCCCTTCCTCGGCGGCCCAGGGGGCTCGGGTTCGGGTTCCTCCGAGACCCCCACCTCGTGCATCTTCTCGGGCTCCGAGTATGAGCGCTTCTTCTGCTCGGGGGTCAGATGCCGGCGCGGGCCCCTCCGGGCGGCGGGGGGCGCGAGCCGGGCCGGGTCCCCCTCGGCCGGGGTCACGCTGTGCCGCTCGCGCGGGGTGTGCGGGGAGGCGGAAATTGGCGCCTCCGGGCTGCGCAGCCCCACGTGGGCCGAGGCGGGTCGCAGGCGCCAGGGCCTGGAGGCCACGGGCGTCCCGGGCTCGAGGTCCCGGCGTCGGAAGGACGTGGCGCCCAGGACGCGGGACTGCGCATCCTTGATGCTGTTCCGGTAGGCGCGGCTGAAGGGGGCGTCCTGCACGGGCGACTCGGGCGTGCGGGGCCTGTCGTCCGACCACATGGCCTCCTTCTCGGCCTCGCTGAAGAGCTGGAAGGTGCTCTGGCTGCGGAGCAGACGGGCGTCCCGCCTCGGGGGCTCCCCGCCCCGGAGTGGGGCACCCCGGCCACCCTCCGCAGCCCGCCTTGGCTGTTGACCACACGGCTGCCAGGAAACCTCTTCTGACTTTGGCTCCCCGTTTTTGAAGTGCTGCTCTCCATTGCCTAGGGGTTCAGTGGGTTCGGAAAAATGTATACGGCCTTTAGTCTCCTCCGAGTCATTCCCCAAAGTACTGGAGGCTGGGAGTGTCCTGTGGGGCCTGTAGTTAAAGCCGTAAGTAGAGCCGCCGGCACTCGGGGGCCTCTGGCCAGCCTGCTCTCGCTGCTCGATCTTGGAAACTTTCTCCAGCACGGAGCAGTGGGGCTTCCCATGAAAGCCCTGCAGAGCGGAGCTGCTGCTGGAACTCAGCCTCCTCCGGCCCAGACTGGAGGTCTCCTGTGGGGATGGGGAGGGCGGCTCTTCATACGTTGGGTCTGAACTGTGGAATGAGGCCAAGGTTCTCCCCTCAGGCCTTGGATAGGACACCGACCTGTCCAGCTGGCTCTTGGGATCAGCAACAGGAGTCCTCCCAGACTCTTCTCCCTTGGTATCGACTGCGCAGGCAGATGAGTCTTCCAGATAGACTTCCTGGGCTGCTCCTCCGAGATCCAGGCTGCTTTGCCTTCTTAGACTCTCAGGAATGTTCTGGAGGGAGGAGAAGGGAGCGGCAGTCTTGCTGAAGCTGCCTGGCACACTCTGGCCCAGGCTGCCTCTGTGGAACCTCCCCCAGAGGTTGGCATTGTGGTCTTCGTGGGAATCCCCCTCCCAAGGCTCTGAGGGCAGGAAGGGTCTCTTGTCTTCACCCACTTGCCACGCCTGAACCTGAGGGGATTGGAGGCTGTGGTAATTAGAATATTTGTTGCCCTGGGTGCTCTTTCTCTCGCTGGGACGTGGGCTGTGGCCTTCTAGAGGTGTGAGAAGTCTCTTCTGGGAGGTCTCCTCCTTCTCAGGCACTGAGGGAAAATGGACTTTATAGGCGACACATTTGGCTGACGTTTCAGGTTTCCTCTCTACTAGGGACACTGAGTCCCGTTCTAGGGGCTGGCAGAAGGCGAAGCCAGGCCTGCTAGATCCGTTCTGGTTCCCATTCTCATCAAGGGCAGCCATTCTGTCGCACGCTCCCTGAGGAGGTGTGTACCCACCCTCCTTGGCCAGGGCAGGGTAGAGGGTACCATTTCCACTCACAGAAGGCCGGGGCACCTGGGCGAAGTGTGGCTCCAGGGAAGGTACCGGGTAGATGCCAGTCGGCAGCAGAGGTTGGCCGGGCTGGGCCTTCTGGGTGTAACTGTGCTTGGGCTTCACTGGAGGGCTGCTTTCTGGGCTCTTCTCTAGCACAGTATGCAGCTGTTCCTCTAAGAAGGGAGATTTCAGGGTGCCTGCCGAGTTTGCCGGAGGCCGGCAGAACCGTTTCTGATCTAAGCTAGACCAGGAGCTGGGCCGCTCTCGCTGCCGGAAGGCTGCATAACTGTCACTTCGAGCTGGGGGCAGGGGCGCACCCACTTTAGGAGGCAAGTTGTCCACAGCGGTCTCTAAGGAACCGGAGCACTGCTGGCTCCAAGAAGAGGGTGGCGCGCCTTTGCCTCGAGGAACATTATGGAATTTATCGTAGCCCTGACCATCAGCCGAGGCGCGAGTCTCCCTACCTTGGAGAAGCAGCCCTGAAGAGTTCACCTCATACTCTGCTGAGACCCCCCTCCGGGGGTCATAGACCGTCTTAACATAGCGAATATCTGCCTGCCTCATCCCTTCTAGGAGGCCACCTCGAGCAGAAGTGGTGTCCATGGAGCCCGAATGCTCCCGGCCAGAGACGCCAGGTGGATACTCGAGGATGCTAGAACTGGTGGAGAAGGAGCTGTAGGCCGAGTCTCTCTTGCTGTGGAGGTGGCTGAGCTGGTCAATGCTGCTGGTGGACTTGGCCGGGGAGAGAAGGTGGCAGGGTGGGTATCCCCTGCCGGGCTCCAGGCTCTCCATGCTCCCCTGGGAGCTGCACCGGTCGGGGCTCTGCCTCAGATACGCGTGGTCATAGCCAGAGAGGTCACTGGTCGAGGAGCTGGAAGAAAGGGAGGCAGGGCAGTCAGCGATGAGCTCTGATTGTTCAGGAGACTTCCAGGCACAGGACTAGCTTATAAATGGACTGTTGTGCAAGATGTTTGGTTTCTGGAAGGGTGGGTGAAAGGGCCATATTTGGGCCTTGCTCGGCCTCCCTATGTGTCGTCACTAGGAGTAACTGCCCAACACCATAACCTATGTGTCTCTAATTAATCACCCAGGCTCGCCAGGGGAGAAGTGGGGAGCAGGAGGACACCATGTGGGCCTTACGGCTCAGGCAACACGATGATGCGCTGTGCTCCGTGCTGGAAGTGACATTCTGCACGTGCCCAAAAAATGAGAGAGGTGGGCGAGGAAAGCGGAGGGCGAGATGAGTTAGAGGGACAGAGACTGACATTTTCTATCTCTTGGGGCGTCTGTGGGAAGAAGGGGAAAGCTTAGTAAGAGACCAGGCACGCGGATGGGTGAGGGAGGCTGTGCACATGTCCATGGTTTTAGTTAATATCTTTCCTTTTTATGGAGTTGAAGGGCTACTCCCTGGCAATCTTCCTGGAATTTCCACTGTACAAGAGACAATTTGTTTGTGGTAAGAAAGCCAAACACAAAACTGAATGAGAAATACTGAGAGAAATTGAGAGCTAGAAAAAGTAGATGAGAGAGGAGGAGAGGCAGGCTGGATAAGAAGTCTTAATCACGGGAGGCTCTCAGGTGCTGGGAGACCATCACCCATGAAGGACTTTCCAGAGTCTGGGCAAAGCCTCATACACTGAACAGTAAGACTTTCTCCTTCACTAGCTCCTCCAAAAAGTTGCCATAAAACAGAATTACTCATAGCTAACTTTAATTATAACCCCCAAATATACTTCACCCAGCATGGTGGGCCAGAGAGAATAGAGATATAGGAAGGAATAAGTAGCTCAAAAATCAAACAGCAGTCTCATTAGTTCAAACATTTGTGATTCACTATTCTCTAAAGAGGGCTTCCCTGATGGCTCAGTGGTAAAGAATATGCCTGCAATGCAGGAGACACAGGTTTGATCCTTGGGTCAGGAAGATTCCCTGGAGGAGGAAATGGCAATCCACTCCAGGATTCTTGCCTGGAAAATCCCATGGACAGAGAAGCGTGGTGGGCTAGAGTCCACAGGGTCACAAAAAGAATAAAGAAGAAAGAAGAGTTCTTGCCTGAGGCTTTTCATTTTTAAATGAATAGGCATTTAAACACTATTAAAATCCATGGAGCCTATTATTATATTTCTAGATCTCGTGTAAGTAAATATGGTGTATGGCTGAGTAGGTGATAATGCTTTGCTGGACTGTCTCCAGAGTATACAGGAAGAGACTAGAAGGATCATATTCTGAGTCAAAACTGGAGCAGAATTCAAGGAAAAGAAGACTACATTTTCAGCAATTCCCCCCCCCCCCCCCCCCCCAGAATAATATTTATCAGGGCAAGTAAACTTACTGAATGGAACATCTTGCTTTGGCAGGGGCAGGTATAAATTCAAGGAGGAAGGAAGGGTTGATTAGGGAAGCCAGTCCTGGCATTCCATGTCATGGCATATGTCACTGCCAGCATTTACCCCCCCACCTCCAAATGAAGAGGATGTGCTGGAAATGCACATGACGTGACTGAGGATAATCTCCTATGACCCACTTGTGCTCCCGTTTATCTCCTCTAACAGAAGACTCAGAGTTAATACTTCGAGGGGACACGGAAGCAGTCGATCCCACAGGGCTGTTTTTGCTCACCAATTCCATGCCAGTGGTAGACACTACTTAATCCTCCTCTCCGCTGCTAAGAATTTTAGCAGTCTTTGACTAAAAGGATAATCCAGATCTAATTTAGGAACATGTGAAAAAAAAAATCAAAGTGAATAAACTGATGGGTTAACTGAAACACTACTGAATGGGAGGAAATGCCATCGCAAAATACAGATGGATCTAGAAATATCAACTCACTGGTAAACATAACTCGAGCCAAGCAGAGCCAGGGTAGAGTGGGTTCCGTCTTGCAGCCAAAGGACACTTAACCCACCAATCCTCAGAGGGAATGCATCCCATGAGGACCATTCTTACTCTTCACTGCTACTCAGGGAGTAGCTCTGTCTCCCCAAATCCTCATTTCCAAGCTGAGTGGGGACTAAGACCCAGTGACCAATGTCATGCCATGGAGTGCCCTGACATCACCCTCTAGGAACAAGCTCTTCTACCACATTCTGGAAGCAGTCATGCTGATTACCCCTGCCATTCCTGCTTCCAAGACGGCACTCTTGCAGGTGGCCGACAAGAACCTGACATGCAGGTCTTCAATCCCGCAGCAGTTCCAGCCCACACAGAGACATCCTTTCTCTCAAGATGAGGGCGTCGAGCATGTCAGAGTTCTCACCGTGGTCTGACGACTTCTCTACCCTCGTTTTCCATCCCCTTGCTCACTGCACTGTGGCATAATGGCTGTTGATGGCATCTCAAACCCATGCAATATGTTCCCACATCAGGGTCTCATGGCCTTTGTACTCACTGTTTCCACCATAAGGAATGCGCTTCACCTGGCTCACTCGCTTCCTTTATTCATGACTGCATCAGAGAAGACTTCTTGCCACTCACTATCTTAAAAGTACCTCTTCTTTCCTTATTTCCTGCTACTCTGCTTTATTATCTTCACATTACATCACTTCTGCTTAGAAGTATTTTCTAAATACTTAAAACACAACAAAGAGCACAAAACAATTATATGAAAATGTTTCCTAAAGTGTACTCCCAGAACATTAATAATTCCTCAGATGATAAAATATGTCTGGAAAATACTGGGCTAGATAAGGCAAATAATTATAATTTAAGACTTCTGAGTCCTTAATAAATTTGTTCATGTGATATTCTTCAAGGCAAATATACTAAGCAGTGCTTTTTTGAAGTTTTTTTTTTTTTTTTTTAAATGTGGACCACTTTTAAAGTCTTTATTGAATTTGCTACAATATTGTTTCTGTTTTGTAGTTTGATTTTTTGGCCACAAGGCATGTGGGATATTAGTTCTCTGACCAGGGGTTAAACCTGCACTCTTGCACTGGCAGGCGAAGTCTTCACCCCTGGACCACCAGGGAAGTCCCAAGCAGTGATTTCTAAACTTACATGACCCTAGAAAGTTTTCCCCAAGGAGCATCTAATGGATTATTATTCCATGGAACACACCTGGGGAAACAATAAATACTACTTTTTGATGTCTTGCTCAGTCTTCTACTCTCAATAACTAAAAATTATCTGAGACACAGTAGGTATTCCATAAATATTTATTAAAGGAATGAATCAATGAGCATGTACTGGTTCTTTAGTATTCTGATGGTGTTATTTCAGCTTCTCGGGAGGGGACTAGACTACAGGATTTTTTGGAGGTTTCTTCTAAAGTACTATGTACTTTAGAAGTTCTAATACTTTAGGACCATCATGAGGTTTCTGTAGGACAGCAGAAAGACAGTGACAAGGATCTGAGAGAAAGCAGCTGAAACACAGTTTCAGTGAAATTCCAGATCTGAGCCAGTTTGCAGGCAGTGAAAATTACATATCTTCTCTTTGAACGTCTCTCTCCCTCTCTCCTCAGTCCTGCCCCTCCCCATCCCTTGAGCTCCCTCTCCTTTTTCTGCTTCTTAATGAGAAACAGATCCACATATTGAGCACTGAGGCTGTGTGAAGGCTGGCACAGGGATGCTGCCCACCAGACCACTAGATGCCACTGTGCCCCTCAGAAATGTACCAGGAGAGCTTCTCCACCTACAGCTGCCTAAGGGCAGCCCCTATAAGCAGAACTCAGAGCTGCAGACCCGAGGCATGGAATGAACAGACCACAGGATGCTTTGAGCTGGGGTAGAAGAAAATACAAATGTATGTGTCATTTTGGGGGTAACCCAAGCTTTCCTTTCTCCTCCTGTACCCCACCCAGATCTTTTGTGTTGATAGTCATTGTGTCAGGGGAGGCTGCTCTGAAGCTTGCGTTAGAGGGCAGAGTGGCAGGTACAGTGCAGGCTCCACCTGCCTAAACCCCTCTGGAGGTTGGGATGAGGAAGAAACAGCAGGTGGAAAAGCAGAGCCTGTAGAATATTGCACTTCTGATGTCCACACTGCCACTCTCCTGGGGCCTCTGGGAGCTCACCATAGTTACTGTGGGCAGTGATTCTAGGCACCAATTGCAGTTGTCTTATTTCTGCCTTCAGCCCAGTGTGTATTTAGGTCACAGTATGACTTCAGATTTAAGGGCCTCCTAAGGTTAATGGGCTTCCCTGCTGGCTCAGTGGTAAATAATCGCCTGCAATGCAGGAGACCAGGGTTTGATCCCTGGCTTGGGAAAATCCCTTGGAGAAGGGAATGGCTACCCACTCCAGAATGCTTGCCTGGAGAATTACATGGACAGAGGAGCTTGGCAGACTCCGATATGGGGTCTGACATGCAGTCGCAAACAGTGGGACACAACTTAGCAACTGAACATCAACAAAAGTTAGTGGTTAGGAGGGGTACCCTGTTAATACACTCCTGCATTTTATAAATGTGTACTGGTTCATGCCATTAACCTAGTTCATTATTATGTTTCACTGTGTCTCTGACAAGTTTTCAGTCTTAATTATTATAATTACTTTTCATAATTACTGAGTGTTCACTATGTTCCAGGAACTACACTAAGTGTCTTATATATCTTACTTTGTTTAATCCTATGATCCAATGAGATATATATTATTAATTTCATTTTACAGGCAAAGAAACCAAGATCAAAGAGGTTAAGTGCTTTGCTCAAGCTTATGCAGTAGGTAATGAAATTGAGATTGAAACCGAGGTCTGATTTATAAGCCCAAGTACCTCACCATCTGGTGCCCCTTCACACTGTTGGGCCCCCGCATCTAACCTTCTAAAAGCCTGTAACACGGCCATGCCCACAGAGCCAAAGCACTGTGCCTGCAGGGCTCAGATGGTGAAATTTTTTCAGGGTTACGGGGAGGGCTGTGGGCAAGGGAAAGGAGTGTCTGTAACAAGGAGGGCGACCAAAAAGTACCCTAACAGGCCATGCCCACCAGTCAGAGCTCCAGGATTTATTTGGCCCTTGATCTGAGCAGACGTGCGTCGTGGGGGTTCTGAGTCTTGGCCTCGCCAAATGCGTGGCCACCATCTGTTTGTTAAGTGATCCTTCCAGCAACATCCTCCCCTCCCTGAGACTGACCAGCACTTTGTACCTGGCCACTGAGCTGTGTCTGACTCTTTATGACCCCATGGACTGCAGCCTGCCGAACTCCCTGTCCATGGAGTTCCCAGGCAAGAATACTGGAGTAGGTTGTCAGTTCCTTCTGCAGGGGGTCTTCCCAACCCAGGAACTGAATCCGCGTCCTGTGTGTCCTGCATTGGCAGGCGGATTCTTCATCACTGGCACCACCTGGGAAGCCCTCCTGCCTCCCTACTATAACCTATGTCCAAGTACTTCCAAAAGGTGGCAAGCGACTGGGCCTGCCTCCCTGGCATCAGGAGATGGACTCCAATTTGCACGGCTCCAAGCCTGTAGTAAATGCAGGGGTGTCCTGACTTCATTCTTTAATGTGTCTGGGGGTGTTGGGGGGGGGGTCAAGCTTGGCTCCCTTTTCCTCAGTCCCCTTCAGTTGTGTCCGGTCTGATTATTGTAATAAACCCCTTCTCCTGCATCCCTCGTGATGGCTCTGCTTTTTCCTGACTGGACCTTAACTGCTGGAGTGATAAGAGGAAAGATGACTCGTATAGCTAGTATAGAGGAAGTGTAGGAGGTTACGGGCAATGGCTTTGTGAAACCTGGCTTGGATTTGATTCATGACTCAGGTACTGAGCAGATGTTTGAGCCTGGACAAACCCATCTCTCCAGCTTCAATGTCCTGTCCTATCAAATGGAGTCAGGAAGACTATCTGTTTCAAAGGTGCATACGAAGGACCGCATGAGATGATGCACACCATGAACAGTCCTCAGTGTGTTAACTGCTTTGACTGGAACTAAGTTGGATAACTGGCTTTAACAGAGAGAGGAAAACCAAGTGGGAAGTTCAAATACTGAATCAAACCATTCAGATAAAAAATAGATACATATTTGACTAAAAGAAAAGATGTGAAGCATCAAGGGAGGGAGCCGTCAGTTTTTCTGCTATAGTGTATAATTGAGAAATGTCTGACTGAGGATCAATAAACCCCATAAATATCTCAAATGGCTAGTCAGTGTTTAAAATAACCCTGGCTTCCCTCCACGCCAGTCTAGCCCAGGAGGTGATGACTCATATGCGCGTCAGGGCTTTTAAGAGGATGCGGATAGTGGGTAGAGAGACTTAATACTTGGGGTGAGTGAAAGAAAACAATCCTTTCTGGGAACAGGGCATTTGAAAGCAAACCCCACCCCCAGCACCCGGGTCTCAGCTGCGCTCACTTACCTGGAGTGGTAGCCCTGGGGCCAAGGCGTGCCAATCGCGCCCTGAGATATCTGCATCATGCTGGCATCAGGTTGGTTCTCCCCAAGTTTGGTCGAGTGCCAAGAGTGGGGCCGGCCTGCAGGTTCAGTGCGTCTGGGGAGACACAGCACGGGGACCCCCGCGTTAGGAGCAGTCTCCGCTGATCTCTTCACCAGTGAGATTTATGAACTTGGAAGCAGAGACTGCTGTATCTCAGAGATGGAACACAGTCGGGTAAATACTAGAAAACAGATCTTACTGTTCATTTCTCTTACTAAACATTGTTTTTTTTTTTTTTCTGCTTTATTATTATTTTTATTTTCCTTTTCATTTTGACATGATTTCAGTTACATACAAATAGGGCAAACTTAAAGCTTTAACTCCTGCATAAACCCCCGTGCACTGTGGAGAGTGCAAACTGGTACAGCCACTATGGAAAACGGTATGGCGTTTCCTTAAAAAAATTTAAAATAGAGCTATGATAGGATCTAGCAACCCCACGACTGGGTATTTATCCAAAGAAACGGAAATCAGGATCTTAAAGGGGTACCTGTACTCCCATGTTCATAGCAGCATTACTCACAATAGCCAAAATATGCCCTAAATACACACAGAACTGACAAAGCTGAAGGGGAAAAGTGGGTATTCTTCAGACTGCAAGGCTGAAGGTTGAATTTGGTAGGGAGGATTACGCTATTGTACAAGTTCTGAGTCAGAGAGTGGCTGAACTTTATTTTTGGCAAAAAAAAAGTGAGATAATGTTTACCATTGACTTCAGGGATTTCTAGACTGAAATCTAGAAATTTCAGTTTACATGTATTGTGTACATTACATTTATTGTGTACTTTGGAGGTGCCCTGAAGTAGCATGGAGCTGCCCAGGCTTAATATCAGCTGGTACACCTCCTTCAGGAAGGAGCAGACACCTTGCTGAAAGTTCTGAATCAGACTCTGAAGCAGGCAAGGAGGCTGTGCAGAGAACAATGAAATCAATGGAGCGGTCTTATCTAGATTAAGTGAAAAAAAAATTTCTCTTTGTGCTTTTAAAGACAACAGTAAGGCTCTCTTAAATCAGGGGTCCCAAACCCCCGAGCCATGGACTGGTTACTGGTTCGTGACCTGTTAGGAGCCAGGCCACATGGCAAGTGGTGAGCGGCATGTGAACAAGCAAAGCTTCACCCGTGTTTACAGCGGCTCCCCACTGCTTGCATTACAGCCTGATTCTGCATTATGGTGAGCTGTGTAATTATTTCACTATATATCACAATGGAATAGTCATAGAAATAAAGCACATAATAAATGTAATATGCTGGAATCATCCTGAAACCATCCCCTAGCCCCAGTTATTTGGGGAAAAACTGTCTTCCACAAAACTGGTCCCTGGTGCCAAAAAGGTTGGGGGTTGCTGTTTTCAATGTAAGCTGTCCAGACGTCTCTTCAATTTCTTTCCCTTTTATTCAAGGGGCATCCATAGACACTTTCTACATGGCAGCCATTATGCTGGCACTCGGGATACAAGTATCATTAGACCCAAATAGTTCACAGTGGTAGAAGAGATGGCCAAGCAGACCACTGTAATACACTGAGATGGGGTCCATAATAGAAATGTGTATAAGGTGCTCGGTAAACTCCAAAGAGGGAGTCACTGGGGGTTTCACATTTAACTAAGCCATGAAAGACTTCTCCAGATGGAAGGGGATGGGAAACGGATGGGAAGCACATCCAGGTAGAAGAAACAGCATAGATGCATGAAAATACAGAAGAACGTGGTACAAACAGCTTACATAAGTGGAGACGAGATGATGAGTGAGGGGCAGCAGATGAAGATAAAGAGGTAGGAGGATCCAGATCTTAACCAGCCTCACTGAAGGCAACAGACAGTATCCTATGGAATTGGAGGCCACTGAAGAGCCTGGGCCAAGGAGGGCCATGTTCCAATTTGAGTTTCAGGAAGATACTGCCAATAACGAAAACAAATCTGAGAGAGAGAGAAGACTGGAGGCTACTGGACTGGCCAACGTAAGAGAGTAAATAAAGACCCAGCACTAAGGCAGGAGTGGTGAACTTAAACAGACAACAGATCTAATGCCTAGCCTAGTGGGTACTTGGATGTGGCTGGCGCAGAAGACTGTGGTCCAGAAGGAAGGATGGCCTTTATGTCTGCAGCCTGAGCTAGAATGGTAATATTACTCACCTATATAAAGAACTGTGAGATGAGGGGTGGGAGCTGAGTGAGGAAGGAGGGAGACACAGTGGGGTGTGCAATGTGAGGTGCCTGTGGGGTTGCAGTGGGGGACACGAGGCAGTGGCAGCTACAGGACTGGTGTCTGGGCTAAAGGTAGAAACTGAGGAGTCACGAAACACATGGCCTTTGAGAAAAGATAAGCTGCTTGGGCAGAGCGCCTAGGAGACTGAAAGGAAGTCCTTTAAAGATAGGCCTCTGAGAACTGTCCCAATTTTGGAGTGGAAAGGGGCTGGAGGGAGCTATCAAAAGGCTTCCAGAGGAGCAGGAGGAAAACCAGGAGGGCATGGGAGTTTCACAGAATCCTCCAGGGAGAGGGTGGGGAGAGAACAAGGACAAGGAACTGCCAACCATTCCAGCTGCTACAGAGAGGTTAGTCTGATGCCGTACCTGCACAAATGCACTTGATTTGATGGCTGATAAGTCTCTGTCATAGAATGACAGGGAAGAGGCCTGATCAGGATCAGGTAAGAGGTGAGTGAAAGCGAAGTTGCTCGGTCGTGTCCGACTCTTTGCGACACCATGGACTGTAGCCTATCAGACTTCTTCATCCATGGGATTTTCCAGGCAAGAGTACTGGAGTGGGTTGCCATTTCCTTCTGCAGCAGATCTTCCTGACCCAGGGATCAAACCCGGGTCTCCTGCATTGCAGGCAGATGCTTTACGCTCTGAGCCACCAAGGAAGCCCTGTGAACTTACAGATGTTCAAGGTGGTTTTAAAAAAGGCAGAGGAACCACAGATCAAATTGCCAACATCCTCTGGATCATCAAAAAAGCAAGGGAGTTCCAGAAAAACATCTATTTCTGCTCTATTGACTATGCCAAAGCCTTTGACTGTGTGGATCACAATAAACTGTGGAAAATTCTGAAAGAGATGGGCATACCAGACCACCTGACGTGCCTCTTGAGAAACCTGTATGCAGGTCAGGAGGCAACAGTAAGAACTGGACATGGAACAACAGACTGGTTCCAAATAGGAAAAGGAGTACATCAAAGCTGTATATTGTCCCTGCTTATTTAACTTATATGCAGAGTACATCATGAGAAATGCTGGGCTGGAGGAAGCACAAGCTGGAATCAAGATTGCCAGGAGAAATATCAATAACCTCAGATATGCAGATGACACCACCCTTATGGCAGAAAGTGAAGAGGAACTAAAACGTCTCTTGATGAAAGTGAAAGAGGAGAGTGAAAAAGTTGGCTTAAAGCTTAACATTCAGAAAACTAAGATCATGGCATCTGGTCCCATCACTTCATGGGAAATAGATGGGGAGACAGTGGAAACAGTGGCTGACTTTATTTTTTTGGGCTCCCAAATCACTGCAGATGGTGATTGCAGCCATGAAATTACAAGACGCTTACTCCTTGGAAGGAAACTTATGACCAACCTAGATAGCATATTAAAAAGCAAAGACATTTACTTTGCCAACAAAGGTCCGTCTAGTCAAGGGTATGGTTTTTCCAGTGGTCATGTATGGATGTGAGAGTTGGACTGTGAAGAAAGCTAAGTGCTGAAGAATTGGTGCTTTTGAACTATCGTGTTGGAGAAGACTCTTGAGAGTCCCTTGGACTGCAAGGAGAGCCAACCAGTCCATCTTAAAGGAGATCAGTCCTGGGTGTTCACTGGAAGGACTGATGCTGCAGCTGAAACTCCAACACTTTGGCTACCTCATGCTAAGAGTTGACTCATTGGAAAAGACCCTGATGCTGGGAGGGACTGGGGGCAGGAGAAGAAGGGGACTACAGAGGATGAGATGGTTGGATGGTATCACCAACTTGATGGACATGAGTTTGAGTAAACTCCGGGAGTTGGCAATGGACAGGGAGGCCTGGCGTGCTGCAATTCATGGGGTCGCAGAGTCAGACACGACTGAATGACTGAACTGAACTGAACAGGTGAGTGAGAGAGAAAACGGAGATAGCAAGGGGAGATAATTCTTTCAAGAACTTGGCTCTAAAGGAGATAGACAGGGTGGTAGCTAGAAGGCTGGGGCTTCCTTAGTGGCTCAGGGTCATTGCAAGAGACATGGGTTCGATCCATGGTCGGGAAGATCCCCTGGAGAAGGGAATGGCTACTCACTCCAGGATTCTTGCCTGGAGAATCCCACGGATAGAGGACCCTGGCAGGCTACAGCCCATGAGTTACAAAGGGTCAGACGCGACTGAATAGAACAGCTAGAAGGCTAGAGGGGGCTGGGGAGTGAAAAGGATTTGTTCTTGATGTTTTATTTTAAATGATGAGAAGTACGAGCAAGTCTATGTGAGACAGGGAATGGATGCATGTGCAGCTGAAGAGAGGCTGCCGATCCTTAAGACTAATGAGGAAATAGGAAAGGATGGCATTCCAGAGCACATGAAGGGCATGGAGTACATGAAAGGCATGACTTCATGTGGAAGAGAAGCTAGATCCACTGGGGTGAGAAAGGAGGAGGCAAGGTGGTGGTGCTCATATGAAAGAGGGTGGGAGGACAGCTGAAAGGACTTAACGTTACACCTATTGTCCTCTAGAGGGACCAGTGAGAGGCTCGATGTGGTGGATGGGGATCAAGGGGCATGACAGGTGAGGACTGAAGTGTTGAAACTAACGATATTGAAAAGATTTAATAACTAAGATATGTTCTCTGCTCTTAAGCTTACATTCTGGTGGGGGGGACCAAATGAAGTATTTCTCTAATAAAGAATAAACTATAAAGAAATAATTCTTACAGTAAAGATAAAGTGCCCAAGACCTGCAATGCCAAGACAGGACATTCAACTTGTGAAGATGCTTCTCCAGAGCAGACTGCAGAGGTTGACTGCTTGCCTTGGATAAGGGGTGGGAGTTTCCCTTGAGGCTCAGCTGGTAAAGAACCCACCTGCAGTGCAGGAGACCT